AATGAATGATGTGAGGAGGTGCTGTGCCTTTCAGATCGCCCAAGGCCCGCCCCAGGCTACGAGCTCTCTCTTCATTGGAAGGGCCGAGAAGAGGTCTGTGAATAGGCGTAGACGATGATATCTGGTGCCTGATTAGAGGAGCCTCGACGAGTTGACCAATGAATGAATGAGATCAACCTGCTATTCAGCACATTTCTAACCTGACTGCCTGGCCTCTGACGGAGATTCTGAGACAGCCACGCAGTACAGTACCTACCTGCTGTACTGCTCGGAAGGCAGTCAGGCAGGTACTGTACTCTGTGTGTCACTGTGCTTTGTACTAAATATGAATGCGTCCGGATTCCGGAAGCGCGGCCCCGCATAACCTGGGGGCAGCGGCTGTGACGCCTGTGAATCGACGACATCACCGTGATACCGTTTCTCGACTTTGATTGGGCCAAACGCTCCGTTCCAGAAGCATGTGGATCTTCGGATCGCGCCTTGCGGAGGCGCCTGGGAGTGCGTGTCTTTAGCCACCCACCGGGACGTGGCGTTTTGTGTTCGTCCGCAATCGGTCACAGCCATACCCGAACTGCTGTAAGATACGATACATACCAGGCATGCGGTGTGCGCGTCTGAGGGTGGAATCTGACCGCAGGCAACCTCTCCTACACCTCCCCTTGTTGCACCGGATGAGTCCGCTGTTGAATTCAACTGATAAGCCGTCGTTGCGCATTACTGGTAGATGGTCATGAGCGGTGCTCACTCCTCTCTGCACTGCCCAGAATTGTGTCTTCAATGGCAGACCTGATAGGTCAAAATTTCCGTAATATGTAACTCTATACGGAATTCTCTGGGAATTCCCCAGGTTTCATCCCCGCATATTGCTGCCAAGCGCTTGGGGTCGCCTTCAAACAGGATCGTCCAGAAGATAGCAGCGCACCAGAAATATTTCCACAAAATTCTCTTGCGTAAGAGAAAGGGGCAATTCACGAGTACAACGAGCGCACCGGGACAATCTCGGGTGACCTATTGCCCTCCTTGAGAACTGCGATTCGACCATACTTACATAGTACTCCAGCACCTCCAACCTCCATCCTCAGTTCGCCTTGTTGAAAGGCTGAGTCATCGGCTCGGCGGCAGGACACCACACGCAGTGGGCAGGCACTCGGATGTATCATTCGCACTGCCCCGGATCAACATATTCAGGCTGTTTCGGTCATGTTGATAACATAATTTTTGCCTCTGTCACGTCATCATCTTTGCTCAATGAATTCGGAAGTAGTCTGATGAGCAGGTTGCTTTGAACCAGTTAAGGCGCTTCAATTGTTGGTCGTGGCGAATCAGACAAACTCATTCAGATGGCCTGTGTGACAGTCTTCTTCATTCGTTGCAGAGTCAAAGGAGGAAATACTGCAGACTCATATCAATCATTCATGTTGATATTGTAGTTGAGCTACGGAGTAGTTGGCGTACAATGGGTGAGAGCATGCCGTGTTTGGGTCTCAGCAGTTGTTGAAGGTAGCACGGGGTTCCACATGTGAAACAGCCCAAGGAGGACTATGCAGCTTGAGAGTCTCGAACTGTCTGTCTTGTTCTCGAGGCAATCAATGCATTCTGCACAATTGTCTTTTCCGCGGTCAATGCAGATTGTCATTCTCTACTTCGTGCCCCCAGTCGTATTTGCTCCCATAACCTGATGTAATAGGCTATGGCTGAATGTGTAAATGAGCAAGCGACACTACTAGATTGAATGCAGCTCGCTTGACATTTCAGACCCCGATTGAGGAGGTGAATAATTATCTTTAGCGTATGAAACACGATAAGAGCATGCATGTGCGTTGGCGCAATTGTCTGACACTATACAGAATGATGATTAACCCCACACCGAGAGGATCAGGCAACACGAAAAGCGACAGCGCGGCTAGTCAAGGAGTCCCTGGTTGCAGGCGCCATGCACGATATGCTTGTCGATTGGCCTGTAGTGAGCATCCAGCTGTGCTACAGTCGTCCTATAAATGACTCAGGATTATCTTGTTCTCGCCGATGTGATTAGTGCATGATTGAGGGTCTTGCCGCCCTTTCCCTTGAAGAGATGGCCTTTGCAGTATACTATTGTGCATACTTCATCTCCTTGCGCGGAAATTGTCCATGATCGCTTGGGATGCGAACCTGGAACTTACAAGCTTCTTCGAATATGTGGATGTATGCATAGAGTCGAAGATGAAGTTCTTGATGGCCAGACATGGCCGTGGTATCGAGAGTGAAGCATGAACAGTCTCCCCGACCTAGCATGGTAATGATCGTCGAGAGGTTCATGAAAATACAACACATTGCCCACATCCCTTGTCCGGCCTGCTTAAGGCGGTTGCCGCTGATGGTTACTGTAGCGATTGCATGACAACAGCTCACACACCCATTTTAGCGAGTCGCGACACGCCAATCGTCGTTTTTGCACTCTGCGTCAGAAACGAGGCGTGCTTCGGCGTAGGGACTGTACTTTCCAGCCATGGTGCCGGCCAGGGTTTATCTGCAACTAATTGACTAATTGTTCTGCGCTAGAATGCTTCCACTCATTGACTCCATCGAACTCATGCGACATCGGGTCCTTCGAGCAGATTTTACTCTACTAGGCACTGGGCACTGCAGAGGGATGACCATTTCCGGATAGAGGACCTACCGAATGCGAGTGTAGATCATATCCCGCGATCATCGCGGGGAAGATCTTCCGTCATTTTGGGGATGTGCTGGTGCCGGGGCGCAACAAGATCATGGAGTCAACGACGCCTGATATTTTATTCTTTTTTTGCTTTTTTTCCTTGCTTACTTTTTTTTTATTCTCTGAAAGAATATGTATAGTTGCTTAGATTTAGGTGGAGTTAGATCTCTGTGGGGAATTAGCCGTTCGCCATCTCAGAGCGCCTACTTCATAGGGTTGAAGGTCATTATGTTGATATAGAGATTAGCATTAGTCACGTAATGTTGTTGGACGTAACAACATCACACAACCTTTCCTACTCAAGTATTTTTCCTATGGAATTATTCGACTCTACAGTATCGGCCTATTCATTTTGAAAAGATTTTCGTCCGCCGATGGCCGTTCGGCAAATTGCGGGAATACTCCTTAGCACGTTATGGCGACGATAACTGACAATATGGGGTAGTATTGGATCAACTAACTATTGATTGTGTGATTGACTAGGTAATATGTAGCTTAAGCAAGTCGGCGACTAGTTTGGGGGGCAACTTACGTAGTCTTGGTGCCGTACCTGCGTACCATCCCCAAGTTCTGCTCCCCCATTTGTTCCACCAACCCAAAGCTGGAGCCTGGAGAACAATTGATGGGGGTGCGGTTTCGCTTTTCGCTGATTGTCGCAGACTCACCGGGGGAGTCTGGAGCCTGAGCCCACACAGTGCATGCTTTACCCTACTTGGTGCCGTCCGTCCTGCTGGCCGGCAAAGCGCCGGCAGTCGGCCCGGCATCAGCCATTTCAGCCATGAGAAGGATGAGCGGGCGTTCAGCTGAGATTTTGCAGCTGATCTCATTCTCACCTCATCCCTTCCTCCCCCCCTCCTCTTCTCCCCCCTCCATCTTCCTCAAGTTTGGATGCGGAGCAGGACAGAAGCAAGATTCTTGTGCCAGATAAGGTCGAGCAGATGATCAATGTTCGCATTGAGTGTTGCTCTATACACTCTAAATCGATAGCCCTGTGACCCCGTGTTTGTTATTCTAGTCATCCCCGTAGGAGCAATACCTCCGTACTTTTGCCTGCCTTATCTCACAGATCTCATTATCTAGTCTATTGCCTTCCCCCAAATGATACTCATAATTCTTCCGGGTCGCCATTCCTTCCTCTCTAGGCGGATAAACCTTCAGGTCAGGCGGGGTCGTGGGGGTGGGTTCCAGATCACAGACCAGACAGCCGAGTTTATCCTATCAGACCCAGGGGAACCGCCACGGCCACGATATCAACCGCGGGGAGCTTTTCTCCGTCGGCTCGACCGACCACCTCCTTGCCCTTGCCCTTGCCCTACGTAACATCGGTCTTGCGATCCCAGCGATAAGCTCACATCGGCGTTAAGAGAATTTACTAGGCGCTCTAGGTAAGTTAAGTGGGTTGGGCTATCGTTGTAGCCTGCTCGAAGAGGATAAATTACATACAGTGCATCTGGTATTTTCAAATCGTCAAAAGGTCAATGGACAGGCGTTTTCAGAAACACGTTCTCCTGCGGCAATGTGACTGTGATATTCATTCTAGTGGACCAATTTGGGGTTGCACCCCCCTCCCTTCTCTTCCCTCGGGGTTGGGGCTATCTGCGATCTACAGAACTGCCCAGACGGCTTGGTGCATGGATGTGTTCCGATTTCCCGGATATTCATCCTAATTACGAATTCTAATGGGTTTGCTGAGCATAGTCACTTTTGACTTTTCGGCCCTTCAACCTGTCCTTTCGTCATAGATCACAACTGATATGAGTGTAATCAAGAGAGTACGTAAATGCCTACATTCCTTTCTCAGATGCTGGTCCCAGAGGCCCATTGACCCTTGCATACCAAGAACCATACGCTTGTGCGAGGACGGAAACAATCAGCCGGCGATTGCGTCGAGAAGCATGAAGATAAGATCTATCATCGTCTGGTGACATGTGATTGCTTTTACCACCACCAGGACCTTGAGCAGAGATTGCACCGTACATCAGTGGTTCGTGGATTGTCTAATGGCTGGCTGGAGTTGCCGAAAACCCGTAACTTACTTTATCCCGAAGGACGCTTGGGTATTATTCCTTCAGTCGCTTAACAGTATCATGCGACAATCAGACAATATCATTAGTCAAGCTGGATTGGTGGCGGGTTCATTATACGCCCAATTCTGTCCCCTCCTCTCAGCAAGCAGGGTTCCCGCACGGGGATTTCCCTTGTCGGATGAACCTCCTAAGGCTCCTCCTCCCCCTTCCTCCCCCATCCTCCCCCAATTATCCTTCATTCGCCCGTCCGGGGAAATTCACTCCGTCCACGGCGGTGGCAGAGCTTTAGGGAGATTAGAAGTGGCCTGGGACCTGGGGATAATTTATTGCGGAGTTCAATTTCCGGACTTGATTCTAGTTTGCGTTGGATCAACGATTAGTCGCCTTTCGGTCCCCTTTGGATTTACTCCTAGTCTTTTTGTCTTGAAGTACTGAGTCGTTACCCTTTACCCCCCCTGTCAATATCACCAGCGGAAAAGCTCCTGTAGACGCCTGGCACCGATGAAACGATGCAGGGTCCCCTCCGATGCGGTGGGAATAGTAAGCGCTAGGCCAGGGGATGGTGAGAGGCCTCGATTCCGACGACATGGGGGGAAGTGCGCGTCACAAACGGGTTAATCGCACCTGCGAAGCTTGACAGTCGGTTAATTAAGGATATCATACTGTATATTGACTACTCCACCGCATAGAATGCATACAGAGTAGATATGATGTGCGATTGCGATTGCGATGCGATTCTCGTCGACCCTGTCTGTGTGCGCCGACCACATGATTTAGCGCATACCTTCGCTGCGCATCACCCACGTCGCAGCCATCATTCATGCCTGCCTGCCTACCTGCCTAGTTCTAGGCGCCTTCAGCACTAGGAGAGCTGAGAAGGAGAGGGTAAAAAAAAAGAGTGTGTAGCCTTCCCCGTACTCTAGTCGAATCAACACTCGTTAATATGAGTAAAATCCGCAGGCAGCTGAGTTTGTGGGGGTTGTATGTGTCGCCTCGTCCGCGGTTCTGACTCATGGGGGAAAGGAAAGAAAGGCTGATGAGCCATGCCATCCATGGTTGTTGTCTGATGCAATGCTGGCTTTATTTTTCATTTTCCCCCACAATAATAATAATAATAAGGAAATGCCGACGGATGGCCGCTCGTTCGCCATTTACCCGCATGGCATGTCATCCCGGCTCTTTTTCGTCGCCCTTTCCAATTCAATTCGCCCTGTGGCTGCCGTCGCCAACAATCCAACAGCCTCATCAAAAACCCCCCCCCTTTTCCTCACCGATGAGGATGAGGATGAGGATGAGGATGAGGATGAGGATGATGATGATGATGATGATGTATTGGATCTCGCCCATCGTATGACTTTTTGACTCCGCGTACCGCTTCTGCCCTGCCCAGCCCTGGCCTTTTGGCATGATCACCGCTTCCGTCACGGAGAGATGTCATTGGGAAACCTTCATTCGACCCCAGACCGTCACCCCAGCTTGGCTAGTACTAGGTATGGACTTGCTTATCTTAAGATTCTCAGTCAACCAACCCTCGCCTGAATGTCGGTCGATCAGCTGGTCTGGACTGGGCGGTTCTGAAGATCTGTCGAACAATTCTTTTTCTTTTTCTTTTTCTTTTTCTTTTTCTTTTTCTTTTTCTTTTTTTTTTGTTTTCATCTCTCCCCCGGGTATGCCCCGGACTTCCTAGTTAAGGGAAACTGGAAAGGGTTTGCCAACAGAAAACCCAAAACACAAAGCAAAAACCCAAAGAAAGAAATACGTACTGTAATCGAACAAATGGCAAACCCTCCCTAGGGAAAAGAAATACTGGATGATCCCCCTTCGTAAGCGCCAATCACTTCATCTTTTCATCATCGACTCTCATCTCATCACCACAGGATGGCATCATCTGGGGAAGGGACCCTTGGGGATGAGGGGCGGATTGATGGGGGACGGGGGCGGCGAGTTTGGGGGGTTGATTGGGGATATTCTACATTTTACTCAACTCCCCCCCCATTCCCCCACCATCTGACCGTATCACGCAGAGAACTGGTTGAGTTCCAATACAGCATCCTACCCTCCCAGAAGTCTATTCATGGTGGGCGATAGGGGATGCACCCACCTTTTTCAGGTCAATAGTGTGTAGCTATCACATGAGAAAGAAAGGTTGGCTGAATAGCTAGCTATCCATGTGTGTGCATTATCCGACTTGCGGAACACAATCACGTAATCGAGCTCCCTTTGATCACCACCAGATCCTTTTGCCCCGGATGGTGAAGAGCAAGAGTCGTGAGGGAGGGGGAAGGATAATTATGATTGCGGTGGTGGTGGTGTGGTGGCAGAGGAGGGGGGGCCCTTTACCAACAACAATGATATCTTATCATACAATACACTCATTCATTTCCCCCGGAGGTCATCCGCGATAGCCGGTTTATGATTGTAGATTAGAAGGGGTGGAAGACTGAGAGGTTCAGTTCAGTTCACCTTTTACATTTACCATACGGAAAAGGAGCTGAGCTGAGCTTTGCTGTAGTGCTTTGCTTTGTTTTGCTTTGCTTTACCTTACCTCAGTACTACTGGAACTTACTCCATACCAACGGTCCAACACCCGACAATACCGGGCACGCACTTCTCCAGGCCACACAGCCACTTCTGCAGTTCCAGTTTCTACTCCGTAATCTCTATCGACTCTAGTTTAGCCCCACATTCTTTTTCTTTTTCTTTTTTTTTTTTTTTTTTTTTCTCTCTCTCTGCCTTTTTCTCTCCTCCTTTCTTACTCTTTTTGTTGCCCTCACTTGTTCTGAGCGTCTCCCTTCCCGGTTGGTCATAGTGGATTTTCTTTTCTTCTCTAACACACCGTGCGTGGTCCGAAAATCAGGCGACGGAAGAGGCCCGAGATAGGCAACGTATTGAAGACTTGAATATCAATTGATTGCTTATAAACCATGTACGAACAATAAGAAACACAGCCTATTCATGGTATTGAGACACTAATGTCAGATCAAGGACCATCGTATTGAAATTCTATTCGTCCGATATGTACTCCGTAAAAAAAAAACATTGGAAGAAGGTACATCAGGCTCGTAAGAGTGACCGGTTGAATCCTCTTTAAGGACAGCAGCCGATCAGGTTTGGTCGGAAAGCACGTTCTTATTTCCCTTTTCATTCAACTAGCCTCCAGAGCCTGCTTTTTTTGCCCCCCCGATGTTTATCCCCACACTACATTTTTTTCACTCTTTTTTTTTTTTTCTCTTTGCCCATTTTTCCACTCTTACCCATTCTTCCCCTTCTTGTCCTCCGATTCCGATAAACCCACCCCTCTACGACTCTCCCTTCCTCCTCCCCTCCCCCGAGCTCCGTTTCTTTCTTCTTCCCCTCCATTCCTCCTTCTCACTCTTCCGGTTCTCCTTTCTTATATCACCTCCTCCCCAGATCCCTTTCTCCAGATTTCTGCCTCTTTCCCCTCCTCTTCGAGACTCACCAATTCCAACATTCGCCTTTCTCGGCTCGCCATTCTGCACCGGGGTTCATTTCCGATTCCGGCCTGCCACCACACTATCATCATCACTATCATCATCATCCTCCTCCTCACCCACCACATTCCGCACTCTTGCCTATTGGAAATCCGAGCACATTGTCCAGAAGTGTCTTGAGTCGAGTTAGCCAACGCTGATCAAGATCGTACCTACTCAAGCCCTGTCGCGTCACAAGGACTGTATCATTCCTTGCGACTTCCTTCCACTGCTCAACCTTTTCTCGGCAACGCTAGGCCTGGGTGGTTTATACTAGCGGGTGGTGATCGACTCGCCGATATAAGCTCCTTGTTCTCCCCCCCCCCCCCCCCTGGTCGCGACACACGGCCTATCGCCTCGGCTGCTCATCCCTTCCGCACGGGTTTTCAAATTCCGGCTCTGTTCTACCTCTCACTCCCCCTCTCCCCGTATCAAGAAAGCTTCACATGCCGCCCTCGGCCTCTTCAGTGGATTTCTCCAATCTGCTGAACCCGCAGAGCAATTCGACTGAGTCTACTCCGTCCTCACCTGCCACCCCCGTGGATAGCTCGAAGGGTCCTTCTACTCCGTCCAGCGCTCAATCCACTTCCAGTATGGCTTCGTCCGTCAGTCTCCTCCCTCCTCTGATGAAGGGTAGCCGTCCTGCGACCGAAGAAGTGCGCCAAGATCTCCCTCGGCCGTACAAGTGCCCGCTGTGTGATCGTGCCTTCCACCGCCTGGAGCACCAAACGAGACATATCCGCACCCACACGGGCGAGAAGCCCCACGCGTGCCAGTTCCCTGGCTGCACCAAGCGATTCAGTCGCTCCGATGAACTCACTCGCCACTCGCGAATTCACAACAACCCCAACTCGAGGCGCAGCAACAAGGCGCAGCATCTCGCTGCGGCTGCCGCGGCTGCAGCTGGTCAGGAGAATGCGATGCCCAACAATGCAGGGGCCCTGATGCCCCCTCCCAGCAAGCCTATGACTCGCTCTGCGCCCGTGTCGCAAGTTGGCTCTCCCGACATTTCCCCTCCTCACTCTTTCTCCAACTATGCCAACCACATGCGCTCCAACTTGGGGCCTTATGCCCGCAATACCGAGCGGGCATCTTCTGGCATGGACATCAACCTCCTCGCCACAGCTGCCTCGCAGGTCGAGCGCGACGACCACTTCAGCTTCCATGCCGGCCCTCGCAGCCACCACTTGTTCAGCAGTTCCCGCCACCACGGCAGCGGTCGTTTGCCTTCTCTCTCGGCTTACGCGATCACGCATAACATGAGCCGGTCGCATTCGCATGAAGAAGACGATAGCTATTCGCATCGTGTGAAGCGTTCCAGGCCCAATTCGCCCAACTCGACCGCTCCATCCTCGCCCACTTTTTCGCATGACTCACTTTCACCTACACCCGACCACACGCCTTTGGCAACCCCCGCCCACTCTCCGCGGCTGAGACCTTTGGGATCGAGCGATTTGCACCTTCCCTCAATCCGTCATTTGTCGCTTCATCACACCCCCGCCCTGGCACCCATGGAGCCACAACCGGAGGGTCCCAGTTACTACAGCCCCAGTCAAAGTCACGGTCCGAGCATCACCGATATCATGTCCAAACCCGATGGCACACAGCGCAAGCTACCTGTTCCCCAGGTACCGAAAGTGGCGGTCCAGGATATGTTGAATCCTGGCAGTGGGTTTTCGTCGGTCACCTCGTCCACCGCCAACTCTGTCGCGGGCGGTGATCTGGCTGATCGTGCCTTTTAAATCGACCTTTGTGCCGATACATTTGGGTTTGTAAACTTGGATTCCGACAAAAAGCATTATATTTTCATGCGTGCTACGACCACATAGACTTGTGCATTTACAATGGTTCATGGGCATCATCGGTGTCAGTTGGTTGGGTGGTTTTTTTCATTATCTTTACATTGCTTTGGATTCATGGCTCTTATACACTTCTTTGTACTCTTTTGCGAGGCGTCACTACCAATAGATGGATGGGATATCTTGTGAATCGTTTTCTGTCCCTTCTGATTCTCACTTCAGTGTCTGATCTCCTGGTCGCAATTCCCCCTCTCCTCTCGGAACATCTCCTATCTCCTATCTCCAAACCCGAGCAGCGGGGTTCGCCGCTCGGCTCCCGTCCTTCGTGGCCTCTTCTGTCCACGAGGACGAAATATACCGACTTACCATTCTTGCTTCCGATTGTTTCCCGCCTTTCCCTTCTGGGTTATACTGATAGACCTGACTTCTATTCTTTCATTCTTGCTATCTCCGCTATAGACCACCTCGAGCAGGACGAGAGGGATTACAACCTAACAATATACATCAACCTTAATTGGAAACAGCTTATATCACTAGCTACTTTAATCTCCTTCAGTAACCCCCAGTACAATTCTCTGGTATTTCTGTAGGCTTCGTAACACCTGCGAAACCGGTTTTGGGATTGAGAAAGGAGACCTTGAGAGCCTGGAAAGGTCTGGCCCGTGTCAGGATAGGCCATGGGAAGCGACCGCGTGATCCCCGATTGGCATGTCAATCATCAAGGAGGTGTACTGTACCTGAAGGCTGGATGATGACCTACCTCAGGGAGGAGGGCTAATGACCGAAGATTCCAAGTTAGTAGCAACGGCGCCTAAAGATATGCGCTCGGGCTGGGATTGGCTCTTGGCGCAAGTAATCAACGACTACGAGGTACTATCGTAGGTACTGCACCTACCGGAGGGTATAAGTCCACTACCTACAGCAAGCAGCTCAGCCGACCTCGTTATCTCGGTCGTGTGGTGCCAAAATAGACTGGTTAGTACGCAGTAACCGACTAACTAGGTCTGGTTATGTCATTTCCAAGTAAGTTGATCACTTGTACTGTACTACAGATGGGTTTCATCATATACTCCCTCTTTTTTCTTCTATCTCATACATAACCATTTGACAACTACTTATCTTCTCGATGATCTCCCATAGTAGGATTTGAACGGTCCACATAACATTCGGAGCTTTTGTTGGACGGGAAATCCTTGCGCAACGCTCATATGCACTGCATACATGTTTTTACTACTGTTTTACCCGTAAAGCAGGTCTGCTGATCCGATGCGGGTACTGCTCCTTTACAGGGTGTCAAGTCCTGCTTTCTGTGACAGAGTCGTAGATTGTAGGTTGGGTAAGGCACTGGTGATGTTGCTCTGAGCATAAGACTTAATCTTATTTGAAATCCTGACCCCTATGACCTGGTAAACTTGATGGATAGAAAGGGGGGAGAGGGGGTTGTACAGTACATGAGTGGTATTCGATCTATCTGTGACTCCTGCGTGGTGCTGGATTAAATTGGGAAATGCAAGAGAGATCTCAACTTGGAGCTTCAGGGTGCAGCAGATATCAGATCAAGGTCTCCAATCGCTCCCGTAAGCTCTCCAAAGTCGCCTTGTTCTTCGCCCACCTGCTCATAGCCTCCTCGTAGTCATCGTGAGAGACCCAGCCATCATCCCCAAGAAGGTCCGCCCGCAGACTCTCGAATTCCTCGAACGCGGCGGCCCAGGCTTCGACTTGCTGCCGACTCTCCTCGATCTCGGTCCGCGAGAACGAAATGGGACACGCTTGCGTCGAGCCTCGGCGTTCCATGATGCGGTCCCATTTCTCAAACACCTGGATTAACAGCTTCTTCAACGGCAATAGGCCGTCTTCGGAGGAGCGTCCGATAATGTGGAATATGAAAGTGGTAGGGTCACTATTATCTCTCATCTTGTCCATGGCATCGACAAGAGCCGGGTTGAACTTCCGGGAAGCCAGCTTGTAGAACTTTTTCACTCTGAGCCGGTCAAGCTGGTCTTCCGCTTGCTTTTTTACGGCCGGCAAGAGAGTTTTAAAATCTTTAGGTAGCCGGGGTTGGACGGCTCCCCATAGGTATGTATCACCGCAGTCGAAGATTGAAGGAAACTTCGCTGGTATAAACAATGGGGCGGTGTGGACAGTTTGCCAGTCAGTTATACTGGATATTTTAGGATCGGACATATCGCCGAAAATATTATGGTGATGAAGGTCAGAGTGCAAAAGGACCGGGGTAAAAACTTCTTTTAGTAGTAGAAGGTAAGGAAGCACCGTTAGAAATTTGCTCAAGGAACTGTATATGATCATCACGCCTTTGTAGCGCTTTCCTCCCAGGTACAGTGACATCGCTGGACCTGTCATGTACGTTTCGTATCCGTGATATCTCACGGTTTGCGATAGCTGCGAAATACTCCTAAGCCGTCTCCCCTGTCTCACCAGTTCAGTACTCGATCCCTGGATAGAGATAACAACACTACACTCACAAGGCCCCTTGTCGATCTCCAATCCTCGGTCCTCGTCTTCTTAAAAAGGACGCTGCGTTGTCGGACCAAGAACAAGTTTAGATTAGCTTTCTTGATCTGCTGTTCCCAGGGCAGCAATACTTCTTCCCTGTAAAAACGTATCTCGATAGTATAGGCTGCCATGCAAGGTGAACTTTGCGTTCACCAACTTCCGTCCAATTTCCACTAAGCTCTTAATAAGCCTAAAGTGTTGAGCTTCGGACATCTCATCCCAAACATCGCTTAGTCGCTGACCTTGCACCCTTTCCATCAGGATGTATTCAGCACCGACTGGGTTCACCTGCAGGAACGAGCTCCACGAGAGAACACGGGGGACTGGTATCTGGAGAACAGTTCGAAGCTTTCAATAGGGGTTCTTGTATATTAGGAATACTACAGCACAGAAACTGGGAATGGGCACCACGTACAAAGTCAAGCGTTGCGACTTCACTGGCCACAACATAATGGGCATGGCCGGTGTTCGGGTTCGGAACTCTCGCCAAAATCTCCCTACCATTCTCCATCTGTAAAGAGAACGTCCTGTTGAAAAGCCCCTCGGGCATCTTATCCATTCGCACACATCGGGCTTTCCAGCAGTTGGCCGGCGATACGCTGTAGCGCTGGCACGTTGAAGCTGATATAGCGCGTTTTGAGTTGGTGCGCCTCATTGATAGGCCAACGACCAGATGTGTAGTCAAAGTGGTGATTATGACTTGTGTCCATTGGCCGATTACTGGTCGATCGGACCTGCTGGGATGGATGTCAATCTTTGGTGAAGCTCATAGTATGCCTCGGTAGTATGCGAGATCCTGATGTGAGGTTGTTGCATGACCAGCATGACTTCATCGATGCTTAAGACACGGTGACGTGGACGTGTAATGAAACTGTATACAAAGATGCCGACAATTGAACAATCAACTCAATCAACCAAGCTCAAGAGTCACCACAGCCTTGCCGAAGCTTGGGTCAATGCTGGGTACTCTATCGGTGATTCAATGGTAAGATCTTCGATGCTGTATAGGGACTGCCTTTGGTTGGGAGGGCGAGGTTTGCAAGACGAATACTAAGGAACATCTAGATTTAGTCACTCTCGTGGGAGGTATGGTTCGGTCGCCAAGGCAGGGTGATTACGAAGTACACTGCGCAAGATTGTAGGCAGGCAGACAACTTGATCAGCAAAGAATCATGGTTGATTAGATCAGATGCGCTCAACAAGGGTTACAGTGACTGCCAGCTGAGCCTGGAGGTGCTTCGGCGCCTTCCCGCCGATGACTGATCTCATTTAACTTTACCTCCTGCTGCTTTTTCAACTGCACTGGGTACCGCTGAACAACCAGATAGTACTAACTGCAACCCTTATATGATGGTAAAGGCCGTGAAGGTGGTGAGGGTAACAAAAGTACACATATAGTGAACTAAAAGACCTATATTTCTTGTTGTCTATAGGGTGATATACGCCCTCCTGTTCGGGTATAGTACAGTGGAGCCACAGCTAGACTTTAAAAGGCTTAAGGGAAGTATGTTTATGAGTATCAGGTGTACAGATAAAAAACCTGTTGTCCAGCATCTCAAGCCCAGCCAGCTACGGACTAGAGATCATTACGATGCTGCTGCTGCTGCTGATGATGCAATTCATTCTCCCCTTGGCAAAGACATCCTGGCTTTCTTCACCGGGATCCTTAAAAAATGCACCGGAGCCCACTGTTCCCATGACCAAGACTAAATAAGCAGAATGCAGGTTTGTGCCATCACGTTCATGTAGCACATTCGCTGCACCCACCTTATCCAGGGCCCGGGTGACTTGGCCCTATGAAGGAGGGGGTACTGTATTGTACTTCCGCGACTACCAGTAAGCCCTGACGATCGATGTACTGTACCTGTTGACTTGTTTGTCGTCGGTTAAGTACTGCATGCTCTATTTACTACCTGAACTACTTCCAATGTCCGGAAGGCTCAGGTTGATTTGACTGACTGACTAGCTGATTGACTGACCTATTCCTTCCCCTCCCCGCTTTTCTTGCCGAACAGAGACCGAAGCTCCTAACTAGGAGGTCTACCATGTTGAACCATGCGACAATCGTCCACGGCTACTACAACGAAATATGTTGGGGTTGATGTAACAGGGAGTTTGGAATTAGTTGAGGTGTCAAAGGTAGGCCCAAAGATGATTGCAACCCTCCTCCTCCTCCTCCTCCTCTCACATCTTTTGCTTCCCGATCTGAATGTGTGCGCTTCACTTTGGTTGCGACCCCGCCTTGGGCGACCGCGCGGCGGCCAACTATATGATCGAACCCACTCCCCACCTCCCCTGCCAGACGAACTGCAAGAACTTTGCTTTTTGATCCCAATCTCAAGGCTAACAACTATGTGGCGAGAACAAGACTGCTTGTCAACCTCTGCTCGCAGAATAGGATAGCGTAACCCCAGCTTTCCGTTCAGGAGGGCTTCCAGCGCACCTCGGTGGCCACCCGAAAGCTTTTCATCGGCTAGGCCACCCATACTCTTCTCCTTATTCGAGTTTTGGTGCACCGGAGATAGGTACACCACAGAAGATCCTAGTCAGACAAAACGAAAGAGACGTACACTGGGACACCATGTCGGCCGTTCCGTCCCTGTTGAATAACACCGCATCCGACTCAGCATCCTCATCCGACATGTCCCTTGACACGCGGTGGGCATCCGATCTTCCAGGCTATGCGCTCTTGGAAGACGATGGAACGGGGGCTCTCATCGTCCCGGCTCGCGAGGACAGTCACGATCGCCACTTTCCCTACCTCTGCCTATTCCACATCCTCGACTGCCACACCGCATTCGACAATGCGCAAGGCTGGCGAACCCACGTCCTAAGCCATTTCCGAACCCATGCGCCGCCCAAGACGGCCCGCTGCCCCCTCTGCACCGGAGAAAGGGCAAGATTCCATGACACGGCCGAGTTGGGGGCCTGGGACGCTCTGCTCCACCACGTGGATTCGGCCCACTACCAGCAGGGCCAATCCCTCGCCGGCAGCCGGCCCGACTTCGAGCTGATGCAGTACCTCTATGGGCTGCGGATCATCAGCGTGGACCAGTTCAAGGCGATGCAACTGCCCCCGTCGCCGTCGAGCCCGGCGTACCACCAGTCGCACGAATCGGTCCGGGCGAATATCGGCTCGTCCGACGAGCCGTACTGCGCACCGTATAGTCGGCGCCGAGAGGAGCGGATGCGCGGACAGCGGCGAGGGGTGAGTGTGGTTTGAACCCGATTAGGTGTGTAGAGTGGGTTGATGAGGCGACCATTGGGCTTTTCTCATGTCCTCGCACTCGGCTTTTCTGACCAGGGTTCATGAATCCTGCCTTGCTTTGAGCGCTTCTGTAAATGTTTCCCTTGGCTGTTCTCTCATGTCTTGTCTTTAGCGTACTGTGGTCTTGGGTCGCGCCGAGTCTTGTTGTCAAGCCGGGTTAGTTGTCATGCTGTCAGCTGAAACAGATCGAGTTTTGTTCCCTCAGCAGAAGTATATGCCGGTCGTTCGTAGCGGGGCCTTGACATGATGTTCAATCATGTGAGGATTAAACATGTAGTGCGTATCGCATACAAGCGTAGAAAACCTGCAACGATACGGCGGGCCACACACATAGTACCTGAAGCAATCATATGTAATTTCAGCTCAGAAGTCCACGAATGTGCTCTTCGGAACATATACTAGCGTGAGCTCCATTTTTGGGCTTCAAATCCGAGTGACCATGTCTTGATAGAGCTCGAAACAATGTACTACTGTACTCTGGACTCCACATCTAGAATGACGACTGCACCGAAACAAACAGAACAAACACCTCCTTCCGTTCGCACCAACAACTTCGCCGATGCAGTGCTGTATGCTCTCCATCCCACCCCAAAAGCCCCAACGCTGGAGATTGCTTCCCTAGCGCAGAATGAGAGCTTCATAGCCGCTTCTTACTGAGTCTGTGCACATATAATTGATTATTCACATTGCGCCCGCATCTCCGACGTTGAGCGAACCCCGCGCAATTGACACGGCCCTCATTAAACTGCCACTCCAATTCCCACCCATCAATACTTTCCCTCACATCATCTCGGTGTGAAGATTCAGACAAACAATGGAACGTCTCTCGATCAACGAAACCCCCGGCGGCGGTCCCCAGGGCAATGCGCCGCAGGGATTCCCGCCCCAGAACAACAACACCCTCGGTCCCATGACGCATGGTCCCCCGCAGCTGCCGCCGCAGATGTTCACGACCGCGGCTCAATTATTGGATTTGACCGACAGTACGTGATGCCCGCCCGCGACTCGGGCTCTCGCCGCTGGAGCTGGGGAAGGGGTGTTTGGATCTGGGCGGACGAGGGCTGACACTTACGGCAGAGAAGCTTGTTTTGGTCTTGCGTGACGGAAGGAAGTTGATTGGCGTCTTGAGGAGTTGGGATCAGTTCGGTATGCCTTCACATGCTATGCCGGAGCAAGGCACGGGTGACTCGCTTGCGGAAAGCCTTTTGCTTGCTTTGCGATTTGGGAACGTGACAATCTGATTGCCCCTCTTATGCAGCCAACCTCGTTCTCCAAGACACCATCGAGCGCCTCTACTCGGGGAATCTGTACGCCGATATCCCGCGCGGGATCTTCCTTGTCCGTGGCGAGAACGTATTGCTTCTCGGAGAGATTGTACGCCTCCTTTCTCTACTTGCTTGGGGATGCTAGACTGGTTGATGTTTTGCGTCTAAGAGCTTGTGACTAACCCGAGATTTGATCGCCGCAGGACCTCGACAAAGAAGACGATGTGCCCCCTCACCTCCAACGAGCGTCGTTCCAGGAAGTGTTCGAATTAAAGAAGCAAGAGGAGACCAAGCGCAAATCCAACGACAAGAAGCGACACGGCAAGTTACAGACCCTGGGATTCGAGCCAGAACACAGCGGGGAGATCTTATTCTAGAGACTTGCCCTGAACCCCCACCACCATTTCCATCGCATTGGATCGGATGGTGGCTTGCGTCGGCCATGCTGTTTGCCAGAGATGAGAGCAAAACATACGGTTGGATTCCGAGGGGCGGGATGTGGGAGCTTGGCTGCCGGTTGACTTGTGGCCTGTTGCAAACCCTAGCTGCCCTCCAGGGGACCGTTGCGGGGAGACAGGTCGCTTTGCCGCTGATCCCTTACCCGGGCGGCGATTGCGATATCTGTGTGGAAGGCATAGGGCTGGCGGAGGGCTCTCCCAGGGGCTGTGAGAGCTGGTTGATCTCTCCATTGGAACGAGAGATGTGCTGGATTTGAGGATAATTGGCTGGACGGTGAACCTTATGTGCGTGTGTGTGGTGAAGACCGAACGAGAGCACACGCTATCGTCTCTGATTCCGGTCGGCCAGTGTGGATGATGGTCATGTTATGATGATTCTCATGTCTTATTAGAACTTCTATCTATTCCTGTTTTCTTTGCTCTTCCCATTCAATTTTCCAGGGTGTAAAGAAGGAATGGGGCGGTGGCTAGGACTAATATTCATTTAGGCTAGGACTGGATTCGCGCCAGTTGATGACAAATGAACAGACTACTATAGAAAACAATGTCTAGCAGACAGCGATGAGAAGTCCACAATCCTCAGTAAATAGCGATCAAGTCTCTTTCTTCTCCGCTGAGAATCTGTTATCGCGCTCTATCGATAAACGGCGCCAAGAACCGCCCGTACCTTTTTTTCACCTTTCCAAAGATCCCGCCGCCGGACCACAAAAAAAAACTCCGCATCCACCGACTTCTTTCAACCCTCCCCCTCCTCCCAATCCAACCCTGATCCTCTGACCGTCTTCTCAACTGCCTGTCGGTCGATCGTTTCACCATGGCGACCTTGGCGGAGAAGCTGGAGAAGATCAAGTCTCCCAAGCTGCAGAACCAGCAACATGTAAGTCCAGCGTCAAATTCTCCATCTCTTCGGCTTCAAGATCTGGAAGTAATCTATCCTTCCTCGCCACAAAACGTTATTGACCATGACAACCATTCTTCCTAGACGGCCGTAGTGCTCTCTGCAGTTGAAGACACACTCCGCGATCAGAAAGCCGATTTCTCTGCCACAGCTTATTTCGCCGCGCTGTTGGCGCTCCTTGGCCAGTCGATCTCCGCTACCCAAGGCATTGTCAACAAGGACCTCGCTACTTCCGTTGTGTATCTGCTCGACATCACCACTACATACGTCCCTGCGCCAATTCTTCGTTCCAAGTTCTCCCATATCTTGACCAGTCTCGCGCCGGCCCTCTCCCTGCCCGAAGTCGAAGCCCCGCTCCTCCGTCCGTCGATCGGCTGTCTTGAGTCTCTCCTCGTTGCCCAAGATGTCGCGGCATGGCAACTCCCACACACTCAAATCAGCCCCCGTCGGGCCATGGCTGGCTTGCTGAGCTTGTCGGTCGATCACCGCCCTAAGGTCCGGAGACGTGCCCAGGATGCTCTGATCAAGGTCCTTAAGACCCCTCCCCCCAGCCCCTCCTTGGACCACCCGGCTGCCGACATGTGCGCAGAGACTGCTATGCGCACTCTGGGCGATAGCATCGCGGCGGCTGCCAAGGCGAAGCGTGGTCGCAACGACCCCCAGAACCGGGACAACCACGACCCTCTCGTCATCCACTCCCTGCAACTTGTCAAGACGATTGCCGTCGCTTCAGGCGGCTGGCCGAGCAAGAAGATTGAGCCGCTGTGCGAGCTCCTGATGAACGCCTCCCGGTCGACCAACGAGTATATCACCATGGGCGCCTTCGAGGTCTTCGAGGTCATCTTTTCCAGCATGGCCAACGACTTCTCGTCCTCCAAGCTTCCTCGCCTGCTCGAGGCGATCACCGACCTCAAGCCCGCACAGAACGACTCGCAGCTGCTGCCTCCCTGGATCGCCGTCTTGTCGCGCGGGTACGATGTGTCCGCGCAGACCAGCCCCGAGGATACTTTCGAGAAGCTCCCTGCCTTGTTCAACATGATCTCCGGCTACCTTGCCTCCCCCTCGCGCAACATTCGTGTGTCCGCATCAGAGTGCTTGGTCTCGTTCCTGGCAAACTGCATTCCCAAGAACGTGATCATCGAGCCCTCGGTCTACGACGAGAAGACACTCGAGAAGCTGGCGAAGGCTGCTATGGACCTTCTCTCGGTGAAATATCAGGCCGCCTGGGCGGAAGTGTTCAATGTTTGCGCAGCCATGTTCGACAGCTTCAAGTGGCGCTCAAGCCCCTTCCTCGATGACATTGTCAAGACGATCGGTGAGCTCCGCACCAACGAGTCGTTCCACGGAAAGAAGGAGGCGGATAATGTTCTGGGTAGTGCTATTGAGGCCATGGGTCCCGCGGCGGTCTTGGAGATCCTGCCTCTGAACATCATCACCCAGAAGCCCGGCCAGCCCGGCCGTGTCTGGTTCCTCCCTGTTCTGCGTGACAATGTCACTAACACCAACCTTTCTCACTTCCGCTCCGAGTTTGTTCCTCTGAGTGAAGCTCTGTACCAGAAGGTCATGGCTTACAGCTCTGCCGAGAAGGATGTGGAGATGAAGATCTTCGAGACCCTGGTTCAGCAGACTTGGGCTATCCTGCCCGGTTACTGTGAGCTTCCTCTGGACTTGATCGAGTCGTTCGACCAGAGCTTTGCTGAGCTTCTTTCCAACGTCCTCTACAAGCAGACGGAGCTGCGTGTTGACATTTGTCGCGGTCTGCAGAACTTGGTTGAGTCCAATCAGGCCATCTTGTCCCTCGAGGAGGAGGGCGATGACTTGATTCTTCAGCGCAGAATCACCAAGGAAATGGCTGCCAAGAACATCGCTCATCTGGCCGGCTTCGCCAGCAACTTGTTGGCGGTTCTGTTCAACGTCTACAGCCAGACTCTTCCCCATTACAGAGGCTTCATTCTTCAGTGTATCAATGCTTATCTGAGCATCACCCCCGAGAAGGTAAAGCGAACATATCTCGAACAATCATGATCAATCTACTGACAATCTCCCAGGAGCTCAATGAAACCTTTGCGCGTGTTGCGTCTATGCTCGAATCCTCCGTGGTTTCCGAGCAGGAAGAAGCCAAGCAGGGTACCCAGCAGCCCAGCTCTGGCAACAAGATGCCCCCTACCTCCCACACTCTGATCGATCTCGTGATTGCCATGTCCATCTACCTGCCGCGTTCCAGCTTTGCCAGCTTGTTTGCCATGGCTGCGGCCATTCTTAACGGACAAACAGGTGATCAGCAATTGATCAAGAAGGCCTATAAGCTCATCCCCCGTCTTGCTACGACGGATGCTGGCAAAGCCGCGCTCCAAGAGCGGAGTGGTGAGCTTCAGACCCTGATCCTGTCTACCGCCGACAAGACCCCGTCGTCTGCCCGCCGCGACCGCATGCTGGCTGTTCATGAGCTTATCACCTATCTGCCCACTTCCGACTTGCACTTCATCCCCGCTGTTCTCTCTGAGGTCGTTCTGGGTTGCAAGGAGAGCAACGAGAAGACCAGAACTGCTTCCTTCGACCTGCTCATCCACCTTGCACAGAGAACGATCGACTCGGAACGCAACCCGGCCGGCACCGTCATCCGCAACTCCCTTGTGCCTCACATGCCCGACAACGCCCCCGACGCCCCCGCCACCATTGAGGAGTTCTTCACCATGGTTTCTGCTGGTCTGGCCGGTAGCTCACCTCACATGGTTGCCGCATCCGTCACGGCGCTGTCCCGCCTGTTTTTCGACTTCCACACTCAGCTCTCTGGTGCCATGAGCACTGATCTTGTGCAGACCGTGGAGCTCTTCCTTACCAGCAACAACCGCGAGATCGTCCGGTCCGTCCTGGGCTTTGTAAAGGTCGCGGTTGTGGTTCTGTCCGATGAGGATCTCCGCGCGCGCCTGAGCAGCCTGGTCCCCAACCTGATGGTCTGGAGTAAGGAGCACAAGGGTCGTCTCCGCAGCAAGGTCAAGGGTATCCTTGACCGCCTGATCCGCCGCTTCGGCGCCGCCCCCATCGAGGAGCTGGTTGGCGAGGCCGACCGCAAGTTGGTGGTCAACATCCGGAAGCAGCGCGAGCGCCGCAAGAAGAAGAGAAAGGAGGGCGAGCAAGGTGACGAGGACGAGGACGAGGAGAACGCCGGTGCTGCCGGTGGGGCCGACAACAACGCCAAGGGCGGCCGCACCTACAGCAACGCATTCGACAAGGCTGTGTACGACTCTGATTTCTCCGACTCGGACGACGACGCTAGCGAGATCGACGTCGATGAGGAAGGTGGCACCCACGCCCGCGGTCGCGGTCGCGGCAATCAGAACAACAACAACAACGGCCGGAAATCCAAGCAGAGCGAGCAGTACATCCGCGAGCTCTCACCCGAGGACAACCCGCTCGACCTGCTCGCCCCCGATGCCCTGGCCAGCATCTCGACCACGAAACCCAGCGTGCGCTTCCTCAACACGGGCCCTGGATCCCGGAAGAAGCGGAACGCCAAGTTCGGCCCCGACGGCCGTCTCCTTCTGGGTGACGACGATGACAAGGGGGATGTTTCCACCGCCTTGGATGACAACAACGGCGGGGAGAGCGGCATCAACGCCTACGTCCAGGCCGTCAGCGGTCCCGACGCCGTCCGCCGCGGTCAGCGCGGTAAGCTCCGGATGGCGCAGTCGCAGAAGAAGAAGGGTGGCAACGACGACATGGACCTGGATGAGGATGACACTGCCGCCGTCGCGGCCGCGACCAGCTCGCGGCCCGGCCCCGGGCGTCGTGGTCTGGGTGTGCCCAAGTCCCACGGCCCCAGCAGTGGTGGCCGCATTGAGAAGCGCCGGGATGGTCGCGGTCGACCCAACGGTGGTGGTCGTGGCGGTGGTGGTCGCGGCGGTGGTGGTCGCGGCGGTGGTGGTCGTGGTGGCCGCGGTGGTGGATTCCGTGGTAGTGGCGGATTCCGTGGAAACAGAAGATGAATTTAGGTTACGAGGAGAATATCCAGGTGGTCAGTATTTGACAGCGAGGAGGAAGGGGAAAAAGGGCAAGGTTTAATGCCGGGAACTGGGGTAAGGGGACGGTCCGATATGAATTAGGACTTTTTTTTTTTTGCTTTCTCTATGAAATGATTATCGCCGATATCTTGATACGCATTTACAACCTCAACAAGTACAGTTTGTTTGTTCGACTTTTTCACACTTTCCAACAAAAGCACGTCCGTTGCGAATTGCCCCCGAGAGATCAATTTGTGCTGCCGCTGCTGCTGCTGCTGCAGTCTTCTCCGGGGAGATTTTCCAGCATAATGAAGTTTCCTTTCTGTACGACTGACATAGAATGCTTTACTCTTTCTGGTTCCGGTTCTTGTCGATCTTTTCTGAATGTTGGTATCTTTATACCCTCGTCTTGATTTATCTTGCTGTCTTGTCCTGTCTTACTGTCTGGTCTATGTGTCTAGTCTGTTGTCTATAATCCTTAGGCTGGATATCAGATGCCCAACATGATTGATCCTGATTTCACCCATACTCCTGCTCAAGAAACCCTCTTAAGGATCATTTCCGATGTGCAATTCGTATATCAAAAGAAAAGGTCTGGAACCTTCCAGCGAGCAGTAAGTTAGTGTCTGCACCACTGAAGACAGAACCGCAACCCTCGCAACACAGGAAGGAGTGTAGGTAGGAGTCCCCTCGCTCCGGGTCTGGTTCCGCTGGGGCTAAGAACCTATATCTAACTGTGTATAAGAGTCGTTTCCACCCTCATGTCAATTAGTGTGGGATTACTCTCCTCTGCTGAAAGGATAATCCGGGTATTGTGATAGAAGCCTGTTTTTAAGTATTGTACTTGATTATCAGTGATCCTGTTTATACATACAGGTACAGGCACACACACATACACACACACACACATACACATACACAGATCGTTCATTTTCCACGCCGAGTGAGTTCCCTAAGGCTATTATGGATCTTCTATTTCCTTTTGCCTCTCACATACTTGCCTCGGTGTCTTCTCAGCTATCGCGACTACAGTACACAGCCCTGACGCTTGAGCCGGGCCATATCCTCGTGATGAGCAAGCACAGTCCCTTTGGGTATTGCACACCTTTGTGCTTCGGTTCACCAGGCAAGGTCCCGGGGGGAAAAAAAAAAAAAAAAAAAGGACGTACATGTACATGGACCGGACCAGTCGAGTTCAAGCTCAGCTCGGTGGTGCTTGCTCTTCTTGGTTACTGGCTACGCCGTAGAAAATGGATATCGAGGAAACCCTCTAATAGGCGATGGTACTATGTTATATGATTGGGGGGGTATACTGTACTGTACATGATGAACAGGTAGTAATAGTAATAGTACTAGATAGTGGTGGTGGTGAGGGTGGGTTAGGGCGGGCGGACTGCCCCACGTCCGGGGGGATCATTTCACCCCTGAGTTTTATCTGGTTTCACTATAGTCTGAGGATCGATTTCGATTATCTTATCTACTACAGTACATCTACTAGTACGTTCAATCAAACATCAGAAATGACATTGTGATCGTCCCAGACAAATAACAATCGGGGATGTTGACAAGGCATTGATTGGCTGGTTGCGCGGGGAATACGAATACCTAGTAGTTATAAGGTTCAGACTGACAAAAAAGCAATTCATTCTAGAAGACGGTAAGGAAGCCACCGCCGAGTTTGGCTGAAACGCCCCTTCCGCAACTTGCAACCACGCCCACTTGAACCTCTTCGACTTTTACGGCAAAACACTTCTCTCCAGACATCGCACACCACAAATGAATCATCTTAGCCAGCAATCTTGACTGGCAAGGGAAATGTATGATTATCAAGAAGAAAAAAGAAAGAAAAAAAAAAATTAATCCTATAATCCAGATAGCGCCCACTCACCAAAAAGAAAAGAAATTCATTCCACATATCCCAAACGTTGGTATCATGCATGTATCACAGAAACAGCCCAGACGAAATGACGCTTGATAGAACAGAAGAAAAACAAAGAACAGGCAATCGACAGATAGGCCTAGGAAGGCGACTTCCGCGCTTTCCCCAGCCATAAGTGCCACCATCTGCTGACCCCGAGGACCGCGGCTCGACCATCGTCTTTCCGCTCCGTGCCGTCGGGGTTGCCCATCACCATGGAGAAGATCCAGAAGAATGCGGCGATCCAGGCGGGTAGGAGAATCGCGATCGAAAAGAAGGGCGACAGCAGCAGGACCGAAATCAGTCCGCCGATCGTGTAGGATTCTATCGGCTCATCCAAAAACGACCCCTCTGGATCATAGATCGGTTGCGTGGATGCCGATCGCTTCGACGACCGTCGCAGGCAGACCAACCGCTCGTGGATGTGTAACTGCGGTACTAAAATGTCGCATAGTTGGGCTCGGAAAGACGTGTTTCGCAGGTATCGAATGCATGAACAGAGGCGAAGTGGGGAGATCAGGAGGACGAAGAGAAGACCGAAGATGGTGTACAGGGATGCGATGAAGGAAAAGATAGGAACAGGGATGGAGAGTCGGAACTATACAAAGGGAAGCGGTCAGCCAGGGCTTGCGCCACTACACAACGAACCATTGGGAAGGAAGCCGACGTACCAACATCAGGAGCGCATCGGGCTCTTCCTCCTCAGGGGTGATGTCCTCAACGATCGCTCGTTTGTGCACTCGAGCTGCGCCGTTCAAGTGGTTGTCGCCCGACATATACGAGGAATGATCAGTCCAACTGCCCCGACCGCGCCCTTCTTTGCGCACCGCCTCGCTCGTCATCGAAGCTCGGGTTACCAGAGAGCCGTTCTCCGGATAAGGCGCCGCGACGACCGTCTCTGGCACAATAATGGGCTCCGCACTCGAAGGATATCCAGTGTCCACGGACCCTTGGTGCGGGCTGGGGATACTCCGCCGGCGGGAAGGATGGTGATACTGCTGCGTGTGGGAGTCTGACGGCTGAGGGTGAAGGGTATCGTAACCGGAGTCCCGATCCGACGGAGGGGAGCTCTCCACTCCGTGGAGATGACGCTGGGTAGGCGATAATGGAGGTGAGTCCGAAGTTATATGTGCAGCCGGAGGAGCGGCAGGTATAGAGTCGGGAAAATAAGCGGTGATGAGTGGGTTGTCACCTTGATGGTGGGCAGCAGAATGGGACATCTCCGGCTGCCTCATGGTGGGTGGAGAAGAGGGAAGGAAGGGGAGGAAGGAAGGGCGAACAGGTAAGTATCAAACAGGAGCAGGAGGTTGGTAGGTAGTAAACAAGGGCGCAATCGAGGTCGGGGAGACCCCCTCAGAAATGCCGCGGCAGCAACACAAGGTGGTACAAAGGCATACACAAAACAGCAGGGATGAGTTCACCGCATGGCTTTCAGCGCAAGGGGGCGAAAGGAACTTTTGTTTGTTTGGGTGGTATGGTGGGGAGGTGGTAGCTGGTATAAGAAGAGCCACAGAGACCGACGAGGCTTATCAGTTCTGATCGAGGCGGAATGAGAGGAGGTGAGGAGAGGAGAGAGGGGTAGGGGGAGGGTGGAGGGGAGGCGAGGCACTGAGTGTGTGTCTATGTTAGGTGTGTGAGAGAAAGGAAGAGGGAAAGGGAGAGGGAGAGGAACAAGGGGGGGGGGAGTACTCGAGGGAATGGAGGGAGGGGAAAGCTGAGGTCTTTTGTATATCTGGCAGAATAAAGGAAGTAAATACAAGGAGAGAGAGAGAGGGAGGGAGGGAGGAGGAGGAGAGCGGAAAGAGGAGGAGACGAGAAGGCTTCGACTTATACGAATGCCATGGACAACGACGAGGTTACAGAGCGGAACCTCCCAAGAAAAGACAAGAAAAGATGATCATGTCGAATTTCCCAGGACGAACAGGAACAGCGGAAAGGGAGGGAGTTCTGGTTGAAAGCAACTCTTTTTTTCGCTGCCAAGACGCCCAGCTGCCGAGCCCTTGGCATGGGCAACGTCAAAAGCGTGTTACGGCCAACAGCATGGCGTGGCTGGAGGGTAGGTTTGGGAGGGGGAGAGGAAGAAGAGAAAGAGAGTAGAGGGAGGAAGTTGATGGTGGTGGTGGTGGTTCCAGCGATCGGACGGAGGGGATTCAGTTCAGCCGGAAGCGGACACAGCGCGGAGAGGAGATCAGGACTGGAAAATTAACAGGAATCATAGGCAGAGTAGGAGTAAAGGGGGGAGGATGGGGGAGAGGGGGGGGAGGAAAAGAGAGGAAGAAGCGAGAGTATTCAGGTCTGGCCCAGACTGGGGCCATGGGGATTGATGATTTACCTTCATCCATCACTACGGGTATGTATGAGTGAGTACGTACTCTTGTCTCATATTCGCAATCATCTTACAGTTTCATTGTAGCAACTTCATCTGACAACCACAGTGGCAGAAGATAATTCCCCAATCCCCTTCATCCCCCCCTCTCTTTTGGCAGGCTCTGTTTCACTTGGACTGCCAAGACGCCAAGGCTCTGCGGGGGGATGCGGTGGCCAGTCAGGCCGAGAGTCATTTGTTCGTGATCCGCATTCGGAGATGGATTGTTGGCCTTGGCGGGATGATGGCCAAGTCACTTAACCTCTTTCCAGCATAGCTTCACCCTGGGATGGGGCCAATCGGCCAATGCTACCCTACCTAGATTGGTAGTGCATAGTATTACCGCTCACCCTCGCTAAGTCAATGCCGGAGCCCGGGGTCGTTTTTACCTTCCGACCGCCTGCAGCGGCACACCCAGCCCCAACTGGCTAACTGCTGTAATCCAGATCAGGGGGGAAAAAGGGAGTGTGGTGCAGTGTGGTCTGAGAGATGCAGTCTGAGATGACATTTCAGTGATTGATCTAATGCAAGATAATAATTATTATTTCCATAGATCGGTACGGAGTAGTCATCGCGGAGAAAATTCCAGGAAAAGAAATCATTCACTTCAGCATGACGTTCCGGGGTGATCCCCAGCCTGCCTAGACCCTGCCTAATCCGTGGGAAGGAACAGACCAACAAACCCTGACCGATAGATAGACTGATACACTCCCGCCGAGCATTGGCGGGTGCAATGATAGTCGAGTACGGAGTAGATAACCAAGTGCCAAAGTCTCGGGCGAGTTGGCATCGTTCAACTCTCGCAGCCGGATTGCCGTGTCCAGCTGGTCGATCCGTCAATAAATATTAGGTAACGCCGACGCCTGGTGGCGCTCCACCAACTCTTATTTCCTCTTGCGGCGTTTGTGTCCTACTTATATTAGCGATTGTTTAGTTCTAGCGGTTGTCGGGGATCGTCTTCCAATCTCCTCAACCGCAATCTGTCTTACTTACCTTACCTTACCTACCCTCCTCCCTACCGAATCTGACTACATAGTACATACTCACTCCTCTTACACAGATGAATTGACCTCGAATCTTTAGTGATTACGATCGATACTCTCCGCGATATCTCCGCCCGAGACGCATCGATTCCGGCTTCAACCGCAACTCTTTCGGACTGAGGGATGCAGAAGAAAGGAGTCATGACCTGTCCACCGCCGTCTGGGCTTGTGCGTGTCTTGGAGCCTGGGCACTCGTGATAGCGATTTTCCGAGGCAGAGGAGAAAGACGAGAAGAGAGGGGGGGGAAATAAGAAGAAAAGAGGGGAGTCGACAGTTTCACTGCTCAATCACAGGCTGGGCAAACCAGTCCTGTTGGTCCATTCAATCCCGCCAGGAGATCGAACCGAGCCTTGGCTGCCATGCCCAGAACGTTAGGCTGCAACAACTGTTCTGCTTGGTGGTTTGCGTGGCCTCCATGCCTGCCGAGCAACCCCCAAGAAGATGATGCTCAATACCTAATAGTGGATTGTACTGTGCATTTCGCCGGTGAAACCCATGGCCGTGAGCCACAAGGGAGAGAGGGAGGGAGGGGAAAGCTCCGGCACAACTATGACTGTGTTTGTCATACATTGTAGGATCCGCCCATAGTCTACAACCTGATTGAGAGACATTTCAAACATTTCAAACCAAAGCTTCCCAGCAGTCCATGCATGTGAAGCTTGCCGGGGTGACGGGTTGTCCCTCCCCTTCCCTCCCACCCCTTTCCCCTTTTTCAGAACGGTCGGATTTTGAACCCTTGAGCGTCTTGGTTGTCCTACGGGTTGTTCTGCGGGAGAAGACCCCGGGGGTTTACCATCAGTGGTTGAGTGTCTGGCTGAGTGGACATCTCCCGTTAGGATCGCAATTGATTGCGGCTCGCTAGTGCTAATGGAACTCTCATTGTCGGTCTGAGTCATGGTCTCAGTCCTTGGGTGCTCTACCATGACTTCTGACCCCCGCATTGTCCGTCCGTATACAGATCTGATATAGTCCGAATCTTACCACCCCTGACTACTAACGAATACCTGATCAATCTCAGGACGGAGCTTACTTCGTCATTGACCGCGGACAAGTCTGGCTTGGTCTTCTTTTTGGTTTTCCGATAGGTTAATGTACCCTTGCGTCGTTTGGATGTAGTTTCGCTGAATATAGTAATTATAGAGTTGTTCCCTCCATCGTTTCCATGGCTAGACTTCTGAGACTGTCGTCGCAAACATTCGCCTCGAGTACCCGCGCACAATCATCGATCAGTACGGAGTATGGCTTGAATTATCCGAGAGTCTGAGCTCCTTCGCTATTCCCTCTGAACCAGCACACGAACCTGTCCTCGGGACCGCGTCAATCTACACCAAACCAACAGCACCACCTCGATCGCCCAGGCAGCTCTCGACCCCACAGCCTCATGCATCCCCATCCTCATCCCGAGAAAATCATCTCCCCTGCAAGGAGACCGACTCGCAGGTACCGATACCAAGGACAAACCTCCGCACACACTCGCACCCACCCCCTGCAGCCGACATCCGATAAGGAACGAACCCAATATCACTCGGGTTCAATCAGGTGCTCAATGGTGCTCACACATCGATGACGCAGCTCGCTCGTTGACTCGACCGGGTCATCCCTTCTTGTTCTTGTTCTTGTCTCGGGATCCGTTATCTGCAGATAGTGTCATCGTTGCTGCTCCGAGCAGGGCAACGATGTCACGGGGGAGATTTTTTCCAGTTCCAACACTCCAGCTCTCAACAAAAGGGATGGGACGATGTGCGAAGTCGGTGTGGATGGAGTTCGGTGGTGGGGACAAGGATCGTACGATTCTATGGGGGCTTGGGTTGAGGTGTTGCTGTCTACTGAGTCACTCTGTGATACTGGGTTGGGTATGGAAGGGAGTCGGTGGTTGCAACTGCGCTTGTGGGGGTAGCTCTGTATGGATGGATGTGGGGTAAGTTGGATATGTTAATGGGAATATGGAACTTCAGGTCATGATGTGTGGTTATGTCGGTTTTTTGGTCATTGGGAAGAATGTGCCGGTGATCATGACTTATGACTATGCATAGCAAGCCAGCATGGGGTCATGATTTGGGATGGTCACCAGCGAGAGGGTTATAGCTTACGGTGCATTTCGCACGGTAGGAAGCCAGCCATCCCAGATTGTGCTATGCTTCTGCGTGTTTGCTGGGAGCTCTAGCACTCCGCTCTACGGGCCCCAGCCCCATCCCAACCTTGTCGGGTTGATCTCAGATCAGGTAGGGATACTCGCTGTATCAATGAGTCGGGGGGGGCAAGCCGGTTGGCAGTATTGGAAGTGCAGGAAAACCAGATTTCCAGTCTACCTCACCACCAAAGACACCAGGGGTATATCCACTTCCGTAGGATCTCAGACTCCTTGCACGGTCTCCTGGAATAGAGACCTCTATGACAACATTGGTCACCAGGTAGCCACGCCTACGTAGGTACTTGACATACATCCTTCTTCCCCATTCGAGCAATCCCAGCACATACACATCTACGGCACACGCCCTAGATTAAACCTCAATACATCTTCCACCACTACAGACATAACAAGAAAGTCACAAGATCCACCCCTTATCTTGACATCGGATTGTATCTTTCTATGCCGCTAGAAATGTGAAAAGACCACTCTCTGATCTCCTCTTGTCGAACAAGACACTTCTAGGTACTTCACCAGAGCTCCCCAGGGGACATTTTCCCCATCTTGATCTCGTAGCAACGGGCGACATCACAACTTATTCTGCATTCAGCCACTGCCCTGGTAAAAAAAATGCATATCTGTAGTCTTCAAGCTGACAGACACACTCTACCCTTGCTATATCAGGAAACTTTTATGGAGCCACCAGGGCCCCTTTCCCCCGGGGTTGAGACTTATCGACAATCGCCCCGCTGGACTGCCACGCGACCACCGGTAATCCCAATGACTCTGCTTCTACGCCTTTCCCCAGCACAGTACCACTACTCCTATTTGTGGGGGATTGAACGCTACAGACCATGGGCCAAGTCCGTGTATAGCAGATTGCCACCGAAGAAGACAGTGTCTGGTTCCGGAAGGGACTTACGATGATCTATCTGAGTGAGGAACTTCTGCCGGCGGGACATAGCATGAACCATAGCGAGACCTCACACTCGTGAAGACAATCAATCTCGGATCTTGACTGAGTGAGTTACTGGCTACTGACAAGCTTGAGGGATTCAGCAAGGGACCCCTCTGAGGTGGTAGCACAATTGAGAAGTTCTTGCTTTTCCTCTCAAGGTAGCCCGAATTCTCGAGCTCTGGGCGGAGAATCGTGCTCCGGGTGGACTTGCACCACGATCTATATTTCTCGATGGTGGGATACTATCTATTCCAGAGTCGTGATCAAGATGGTCAGAGAGGGGCGTCTAGCAGTGAAGCAATCCTGGTCCCAATCCACACATCCGAGAGGACAGGCAGCCCGGTTGCATAATTAATGTAGGTCATCTAGAAGTAAGTAATTAGACACGATCTCCACCAAGCTCAGCTACACCTGAGTCTCCACAAACTCAAGCTCCCCCGATCTACACTCCTAACACAGTTTATTTTAGGCCAGATCGGAACGGAAACCTGCCTGTGCTGCTGGTTTCCTGGATGCTACCACCCATCCTGCCTGGCAATCCTAGCAGCAGAACCCCAAAGTATTCCATCCAACCTCGCCAAACAAGAGACAGTCGCACTTGACAGCCAGCCAGCCGGGCCAGTTTAGCTGGCTGCCTAACGGTGCCTTAACTTCGTGCTTACATAAATGGGGATAACTTAACTAGTTAGCGCCGCAGCATAGTTAAGTTGGAGTGCCTGTGCCTAGCGAAGATTGTGCATCGCGGAAGCCGGAGCGAGTCACATGATGTGCCTACTGGACAGTACCCGGCTGAAGAGCCAATGACCTCGCAGCTATTGTGCAACCCGTTGGCGAAGGATGAGGTGGCCCCGGCCGAGCTGGAAGGAACCACAACAACTGGAACCTCAGCAGGGCTCAGCTAATTACCGTGCCTACTAAATTAGTCCCACCTTCAAGGCGCTACAGCTACACTGCAATCTCGGAGGTCTACAACACAACAGTGGAGGATAGGCCTGGGGTTTGAATTGTCCGGCCCGCGGCTTACTAGGTAATTTATACAGAGCACCATAGAGAACAAACCCTTTCGTGGTGGGCTGGGCTGGCTGGGCTCAACAGCCCTCCGTCCCTTCCTCGGCAATGGCAATAGCAATGGCATGGCCATGCAGCACCCGGTGTTGCTGTTGCTGTTGCTGTTGCTCGAGCCGCAGCGTAGCCTCCAGCCGATCTTGTAATCCGCCCTACCAATTGAAGAGAAGGAGTGTGATTCTCTAGATAAGCAGATCAGATGGAGTCCACAAGGGTAAAGCCACGGGTAATTATACATAGTAGACCACCAAGTAGACCACCAGAGCAAAGAATCTACCCCAGCAGTTTGGCCAGCACAATCACCTAGGATATATCCCACTGAAGCAGGCTCGGTTCGGCTAATACTGTACCTCTATTTTATCTTTATCATCCTAGAAGGATCAGTGAACAGTTCGAAGGCAAGATGCCAGACGGAAAGGAGGTGGGTGGGTGCGTGGGTGGCTCCCCTCCCACTCACTCACCCCCGCCTTCTCTCGGCCGGCCCCGGCGGGTGCGGGTGTGGATGATAATGATGATGCGCGCGCGCGCGACACGTCCACCGTTTTTTCTTCCCCTTGGAGACACTTTCGGTTCACCAATTTGAGGTAGGCTGCTACTCTCTTTCTCGCTTCCGACTATGTATATATAACCTTCTGGATTTGTTGGGAATGCGATGCCATAAATCCTGCTGCAGTGGGGGAGATGATGAAGAAACATATATATAGATATATTCCTGGAATTTATTGCGGGTGGATTATTTTTTCTAGTGCTAGGGACCGGTAGTTGCTGGTCAGATAAACAAGGTTACTGAACTAGTTACAGGATGGGTTGCATGATGTTGTGTAACGGGTTGATTTGTTTTTTATCCTTTTGCTCCTGGGAAAAATCCATATCTTCCTCCCCTATTTGTGGAATGGGTATACCGGTACTACCGAGATGGAAGCTTTTTGCTAATTGGGGGGTTTTGTCTCGATCGAAAGTGGAAAAGATCCTTGCAATGCCAGACAAAGCTCCCTTCCGCCTATTGAAATTGGGAGGTACGGAACCGGTAGTTGGTGGTGACTGGCTCATTTCATTGTATGAATCCTCAGCAGCAGCTGGTTCGGTGGTTAGCTGAGATGTATACAGGGAAATTTTGGAGCATGGCCTGCCCCTTTCCATACAGCAGCAGTATGTCACTGCTTGCTACACAAGGCTTTTCGCAACGCAGCGCAACGCGCACAACACACGCACGCGTGCAGAACTAGTACACACCTTCCGCCTTGGTGCAAGATTTCGTAGCAGAGTCACTAGATCAGCCTGTCAAAGATAGTAGTCACACATGCGGGAGACACCGCAGGGGCACTGGGGAAGGGGGGGGGGGGAGGGGCCGGGGGCAATTGTTGTACAGTACAGACACCCAGACTGTGGTACTGTACACTGCAGGAGCAGGAAGCCCATGGAGGGAAGCGAATAGAAACTCAAAAAATCCCAGGACCTAGAATCGATTCTTGTATTGATTGACGAGAGGGGGTTCGGGAGTTGGTTGGTTGGCTGGCCGCCCGCCCGCCCGCGCGGACCGGGCTGGGGCTGTTTTGTGTGTCCCGAGCTCAGTCGTTGCAACTTGCAAGGCACTGCAGCAGGCATGCACGCACGCACATATGATGGGTGTCCTGTACCCTCCGTAGCGTACCGTACATTTGCCCGGGATGTTCTCCCCAGTAGGCGCCATGCATGGAGTGGTGATAGTTGCATCTGAGAAAAACAGGGATGGTGCCTTAACTACCGTAGTAGATTCTTACCGCCCGGTGGGGATGGATGGTGTGGGAAGGTAATCTGTCAATCCCAGGGGGGAATGTGAAGCCTTCTCACCTACTCCGTACAGAGACTGACATTGGGTATATATAGCCCTGTCGATTGTCATGCCTGACAACCGTGTATACACACCGCATCTCCCCGGATTATTCAGGTCGCATAGCCAGAACACACCTATCTACACTCTACCAGAGCACAACTCATTTGTTTTAGGTATGTATCCCTTCCCGAGTTGTGCACGGTAAGACAAAATGGAATCCATCTCGAAGAGCAGCCAGCTGGTCCGTACGAACTCGTGTCTTCTGCAGATGCTATTTCCCTCCTCTTGAGTAACCCACATACCGACTCGATCGACGATGCAATGTGCACACCTGTTCTCGTGTTTGAGATACATTGCTGGGCGGAATCTAACCCGTAGTCAGTAGTATGTGGGTTCTTTTTCTCTGGGGTGGGCACTGGGGCACGTAGGCTAGGAAGTATGAAGTATAAAGAATGGAGTGAGTGGGTGGATTCTTCTGACTGGCAGCTTTCCGGACGGTCGGGTACTTCCAAAGAAGAAAAAAAAGTCGCGAAAACTACTACGTACGGGCTAACCAGTGGAGGTAGGAAAAGCCAAGGCACGCACCGTCCCTCCACCAAGGAATCAGTGTCAACCCAACAGGAACAAGCAGAATCCTCATCTGACATACTGCCGTGCCGGTTTGAATCTGTCGATTTGATTGAAATTCGATCTGATTGAGATTCAATGCCATTCAAACCCACCCTTAAGAACCGCCGTGTTGGCAATGGACACACTCTCTGGAGCGGATCTATCAGGAATTCGATTGGGTGCGAGCTAAACGACTCGAAGAAACTCGTCGATGCTCGGATCCGACAAAAGGGGCCTAACGTAAGAATCACGAAGGGGGCGTTTTCTCGACCAGACTAAGGAAAAACCGACCAACCCGTAGGAGTTTAGGGAGAAAACCAGTAGGTACTTACCGGCTGGCTCCGGGTCTAGGCTGGCATATCGGGGCCTTGAGGGGTGTTGGGGAGAGACCCTGCGGTGAGTTGGGACGGCAGCTAAAGAAAGTTCCAGGGGATCAACCGGCGTGTCTAAGGCCAAGGATTATGGTCTGTCCAAAAATACGGGAGTTGCAAGGTGGCATTTTTCTCACAGATAAAAAGGGAAGGGTGGTGAGGTCATCAGGCCAGCTGTTCTGTGATGATGGAAAAAAGGAAAAAATGGGAAAAAGGGCAGGAATTGGAAGGGAGTTGATCCCAATAGGGAAAAAGAGAAAGGGAAGGGAAAAAGAGGGGGGAGGAAGGGGGGAAAAGCGCGCGAAGAAGAAAAAAGGATCGGCCCACACCCAGGTGATGTATCAAGATCATCGACATCAACAGAAAAGCCGACGGATCAGCATCGGGTAAGGCCCACTCCAAGGAATCCGTTAGGAATCCGTGGCTGTTGCCGGAGGCATCCATTAGTACTCCGTCCTGTACACTTTGACTCAGCACAATTTACTCATGCGTGGGATCTGGGATCTGGGCGGACGCTTAGGTAAGCCCGTTGCTGCAGTTCCCGGACCCGCGGCTGAAAAGCCTCTTAGCGGTCCATGACGGAAGGGGTGGAGGGGTGGGAGGGGAAGGGATGAAAAGAGCAGGAAACCAGACAATCCATTCTCCTCGCACAGAGTGATGACAATGTATGTCTGTACCACAAACCATGCTCCCTGGTAGAGCGTCCATATTCGCCTCCTGAACCTGACGTCTACTACCCCTCCCATGCAGACAGCTGCAAGTCCACACGGACTGTGCCAATCTGTCAGACGGCTGAGCATAGCCGGCAGTGTGCAGCCAGCCCAAGATTGCCGCACTGACAGTGACTGGCCCTTCATGTCTGACAGCCGGGAAAGGAGGATGAACTGGTGAAGAAGTGAAGGGTGAAGGGTGCAGGGGCGAAAAGGGCTGATCTAAAGAGGGCTTGACTGCTTGGCCTGCTTTTCAGGTTGGGTAGTAGACCGATAATCGTTGTGCCGGAGTACGGAGTACTGAGGTTTCGGATTGAGCCATGGAAGAGGGGGATGGAGAAAGCGTGATTGAAGATGGACTGCAGAGGGTCCTACGCCATATGCAGAGTACAAGTAGATTATCATTCGCAAGTGCATGTATTGTCCGTAGAGCCGTGAGGCAACTTGACCTTGGGCCCTTGGAACTTGGAAGAGGTCATTGGGGACGGCAGGACGGGCGCGACTGGCAAGTGCAGCATTTGGGTTTTGCAGGTGGTCCGAGTGCGGAGTACGCCTCATGCCTCATGCCTGACTATCTAGGCTGCTCGGGAGCTTAGGTTGTTGAGCTTATGCATTTATGGCCATACGCCAGTCATGTAGGTCGGTTGCAGCCCCACTTACGCGGGCAGAAATTATTGGCGTCGTTCCGCAAATAATGCGGTTGATTCATTGGGAAGGAGAATACTACTCGGGTGGGCTTTTTCTTTTCTTTTTCTTTTTTCCCTTTTCGGCTTCTATCCTTTTTTTTTTTTTTTTTTTTTTTTTTTCCTTTATAATTTTTTTTTCTTTTCTCGAAAAATGACAAAGTGGCACGGGGAAGTGAGGTCGGGTGGGTCTAGTTTACCATGGTCCACCTGCAGTCTTTCGGCGAGTCACAGCCGGGGGTTCGTGCTAGACTTACCACCCCCCCCCCCATCCCTGAAGGTGCATTTTTGGCTCCGGCGCTTGCATCCTCGTCAAACACTGCCCTGTTTCGGGGCGGTTCGACTCCATACCCACTTATTTTTTCTCCCATTGACTCCGCCCGTCCCCATGCGCGGTCCACCCCCCGTTTCCTTTTGTAGTGTGCAGTCTACAGAGTACAGTCAGTCTCTAACAGTCTCACTCATCAATGCAGTTAAGTTGAGTCTAGTCCATCAACTTTCCATTTTCCTTATAGATCTTTAATGGTATATAGTACTATGTACCGTAACTGGTCAAGTCACTATCACACTCGCCCCCGCCTGCCAACATTTGACACTAAGCTCTTTCCCGCAATGGTGATACAATTCTTACTGTAAAGGCTCACCCCTCATCTAGAGTCGTTCGCTAATAGCGCATAAGCGAATCAAATGGAGGGGGTGATATATACTCATACTATCGTCTGTATATACGAAAATTGTACAATGAATTGAAAATACTTTATGGTATAAGCTGTGATTAGGAGTGGCGTGGAGTGTGCGCCTTGCCTTGCAGCCTCAGGCATTAATTTTAGTGCTTATTGCACAGAATCGAAGCACCGCTGTCCCGGTATATTAACTCAACCAACATGAACAGCAAATGGTAAACTTCCTCATGTATGCTGCTGTACTGCTGTAGTTGCTGCTGCTTGCTGCTTCTGCTGCTGCTGCTGGGACGAATGCAACGCCCCCAGACCCAAACTGAAGTTCGGCGCCCGGAAAATATTAACTGTAAATACCCGCGGACACGACTCCAGATTGTCCCCACCCGCTAGGCCGTTCCTGGAGGTCGAGCTGCCTGTCTTCGGCTTGGCGCCGGACGACCGCCATCTCAGCTTTTCCGTGCTTTCCTTGGGTTTCGTTGACTGCTTCAGAGCTGCACAACCACTAGCGTGACTTGGCGTTTTTCGCTCTCTACCACCAGCCCCTCGACCTTCCCTCTTCCTCTTCCTCTTCCTCTTCTTCTCTCTTCCTCTCTTTCTCTCTTCTCTTCCTTTTCCTCTTCTCCTCCTTTTCCCTTTCGTTTTGGCTCGCCCTCCCCCTGCCAATTAAACTCACATTTGTCACTTCCCACCACCCCCCCTAATTCCTCAATTCTCTTCTCTCCCTTTCCCGACTTTTCTTCTCACTATCCCTTGCTTGTGTCATTTGGCTTCATCGCCCCAGTTGTTGTTCAGTTCTGCCGTTCGATCCTTTTTGCTTTGCCGCGTTCCTGTCAACTTCTTTACCTGCGGTTCACCATCCATCTTATACAGAACCCCCAGCTGCAGTGTTGGGCTTGATTGATCGTGCAAGTACTTTAGCGCTTGCATCTCCGTATATTTTTCGAGCTTGACAGCGCCACGGCCCATTCCGCGTTGTCCCATCGCCTCCTTCCGCCTTCGCGACGTGGGTTGGATTTCGCCTGGGCAGTAACCGTCTTGCGTGAATCGTTTCGGGATCCCGTTGCGTTTCGATTCAAGGTGGTCAAGTCTACTTTGCGCGACCGCCTGTATCTGGATTGTGCGACCTCGCCGTAACACAAGCGCTCGTTGCATCATCGTGTCGCAAAGTGCATGGGAGCATAAAGAGTCAGGATCCGCATCACTCGGTTGTGTCGCGTCTCGGCTTAATCCTGTATCAACATAATGGCCCACACACAGCCATCTCCTACGGGGGGTGTGACTCCTCACCATGGCCATCTCGCAGCTCATCCGCAGGTCAATGGTCACCTCCCCTTGCAATCCCAGAGCCAGAAGGGCCCGCCCTTGACTACTGCGCAGAAGATTGCTGCTCTGAATGAACAAGTCTGGCTACAAATCGGTACGTAGATCTATAATGGCATTGATGTTGTAGGGCCACCGTGTTGGCCGCCGTCTCTACTGGACTATCGCTAACTGTCTGCCTAAAGGAGCGCTCACTGAATTGATGGGCGATCTTGATGGTGCCATGAATGCTTTCGAACAAGCGCTGCGACACAATCAGTGGTCTATCCCTGCGATGAATGCGATTTCTTGTATCTTACGCACGAAAGAGCAGTTTCCCAAGGCGATCGAGTACCTGCAAAACATCCTTAAGCTGGATCCCACCAGTGGCGAAACATGGGGCAGTCTGGGTACGTATAAACTGTTTAGTGTCTGATCTATCGCTGACTTGGAATTCGATCAGGTCATTGTCATCTGATGATGGACAACTTGCAGGAGGCATACACTTCCTATCAACAAGCGCTCTATCATCTCCGTGATCCTAAGGTCAGTAACGGGTTGAAAACCGTTGATCATACAATTAGAAATACTGATGAAAAAGCAGGAGCCCAAGTTGTGGTATGGAATTGGTATTCTTTATGATCGCTATGGCTCCCTGGATCACGCCGAAGAAGCCTTCTCCCAAGTCATGCGCATGGCGCCCGATTTCGAAAAGGCCAACGAAATTTACTTCAGGTTGGGCATAATATACAAGCAGCAGCAGAAGTTCAACCAGAGTCTGGAGGTATGTATCTTGCAGATGACGAGCCAATGGCGTGGACTTCATGAATCTCGTACTAATTATGATCCTTAGTGCTTCAAATACATTGTGACAGACCCTCCCCGTCCGTTGACGGAAGAGGATATCTGGTTCCAGATTGGTCACGTTCATGAACAGCAGAAAGATGTAAGTTTTCCACAATCATACAGCGAATGATTTGCAGCTAATCCAGCCACAGTTCGATGCCGCGCAGCAAGCCTACAGACGGGTCCTCGACCGGGACCCCAATCACGCCAAGGTCCTGCAACAGCTGGGATGGCTCTACCATCAGCAAAGCAACAACTATGCTAGTCAGGAGAAAGCGATCGAATATTTGGAGAAATCTGTCAGCGCAGGTAAGCATCGCGCCTTTCGTCCAGTCGCAATTTGACACTGACATAATATTCAATAGACAACACCGATGCGCAGAGTTGGTATCTGTTGGGTCGCTGCTACATGTCTCAAGCCAAGTACCCTAAGGCGTATGAAGCTTATCAACAGGCAGTCTACCGCGACGGACGCAACCCGACTTTCTGGTGCTCCATTGGTGTCCTGTATTATCAGATCAACCAGTACCGTGATGCGCTGGATGCTTATTCTCGTGCAATCCGCTTGAACCCATACATTTCGGAAGTGTGGTACGATCTGGGAACTCTGGTAGGTTACAGTACTTCAGGTGTTATCAGTGCAAATGCTAACCTCGCCGCTAGTATGAGTCATGCAACAACCAAATTGCGGATGCACTTGATGCCTACGGTCGCGCTGCTGACCTGGATCCGACCAACGTTCACATCAAGGCCCGCTTGCAACTCCTCCAGAGCCAGCTGTCAGGTTCTGGTCAAAGCAACGGCCCGGCTCCTCAGCCCCAGGATGTCCACCCACAAGCGTATCAAGCACCGGGTGTTGGAGCCCCTCCGGCGCCTCAATGGGGTGCACCAGCCCCCACCGGTGGTCCACCCCCGCAGGCTCCCGCCCCCCCGAGACAGATCGCTGACTGGAACCGTGGCATCAACGAAGTCCAGTCTCAGGTTCAAGCCCAAGCCGCCAACGGATTTGATCATCGTGATGCTCTCCGTGCTCCTAGCTCCCTTCAGCAACCGAGCCCGCGACAGGAGCCAGGCAGAGTGTTTCCCGATGCCGTACGTCCTCAGCCGGCCGTTCGTTCTCCCAAGACTTCTCTGCCCGGCGGCCCCAACGTCTATGGGCCTGGACACACCCTTCCTCAGCTCGCCAACCCTAATGTTCCTGCGCCTGATCGCACTCCTGGTGCCTCTGCTGCCTTCTCTTCCGCAACACGCGGACCATTGCCCCCAGCTCCCGCGGCACCTCCCGCTCCTGGTGCTGCGAATGGTGCTCCTACTCCTGGCGGTACCTTGCCTCCTTACCATCGCCCTTTCACTCCGCCCACGGAAATCAGGCCCCTTCGTGACGAACGGCCATCCTCGCCTGGATCAACCTACCCACACCAACAGTATCACCACGGTCCCACCGTGCCACCTAGTGGCACTGGCATTGCAAGTGGCGCGCCTCCGCCTGCCTCTGCCATCAGCGCCGCAGAAGCGGCTGCCCGCGAGCGTGAGGATCGTCCCGGCTCTGCTATGAAGCGTGGTAGAGAATGGGACTCCGAACCTGGGCCTGCCAAAAAGATCGCCAGCGAGGAGAGCCGAGCTCGCCTGGACGAACAGATGACCCGCCGCGTCAGTCCTCCAAACCGCATGCCTTCCCCTGGAGAGATACAGCGCCGTAGCTCCTCGGAGGCTCGTCGTGAGGACCAACGCAGAGTCAATGAAAACTACCACCCATCTGAGGCGGCTCACCACCCTCAAACGTTGCCTTCCATCCAGCATATGCCCCCCCACCCGTCCGGCGGCCCTAGTCTTCCTCCCATGTCCGAAACCCCGGCTGCGGTTTCCAACGGGCCCCAGTCTGGTCCGCCGTCTGCCACCGTTCCTGTCAAGGAGGAGCCAGCTCGCAGTGAACAGGCCCCGGCACACGAGCCCGCGGCACGCAAAATGGACGTGGATGAAAATTACGATGATGACGGCGATGATGAGAAGAGAGCCTCTGCTGCTGTCAAGGGAAGCCCCTCCGCTAGCGCCAACAACAGCAGCAGCAATGGCGTCCTGGCCAGTGGGTCCCAGCCCGCCCAAGCCAAAACCGAGTCTACTCCTGCAGTCTAGAGCTCGGTGATGTGATGTCCTTTGCATGCATGCCCCTCCAGGGAGTATTGACTGCTGTAATATGACGCCCAAATCAAGAACCAGCGTTCGCAACGATTAATTCCACTATGAGACGCCCCTCTACCCTCGTTACCCATTCTTTCCCCCCTTTCCTTGGTTTCGTCTATATATCTTTTCTCCAATCTTCTTTGGCCACTCTGTTCGCCCGCTGTTTTATCACGAGAGCTTGTTTGTATTGTAGTCTTGGCAATTCATGGGACGGTTATTTATGGTCTTCGGTTTCTGTATTGAGTGTCTACTATCTTAGCCCTTCAGTAACGCATTCTCCGTTCAAACATACTGTCTAGTAGTCGTTCTAGGGTCCTTGATTGTAGCGGGTGCCAATTGAGGCAAGTTCAGTCTATTGTATAGCAGGAGGATGGGCAGTGTAGGAAGACGTGTACCACATCAGAGCAATACAGCAGGTGGTTAGAAACAGGCTGAGGTTCGGACAGTAGATGTACAACATGCCAAGCGGACCATGCATTCAAGCGTGGAGAACTACGTACTAGTATCGAATTGCGGTTGGGGTTGGAAAAGAATGCGAGGTGGCATAGATTTCCTAAGCATGCGACCGTGTGGCCCACTAAAGCATGTGCCGTTGCAAAAAGTTGGGGGGAAGGAAAAGGGAAGATGACACATTCGGGCAGATCATGACCGAGCATGCTTTTGGAGGGAGAAGACCCGAAGAGGAAAGAAAGGGGGAGTGGGAGGGGGGGGGAAGGTCCCACCGACTGGAGACATATGGACGAGAATTTGACTCGGATGAGAAAAAAAAGTGGTTTGTGTGCCATTGAATTCTCCATTCATGGGTGGCGGTGGGAGTGAACTCTTTTGAGTTGGTTGCAAGCAGATGTCTGCCTGAGGCACTAAGAAGTCGGGCCCATCCATCGCTTAACCCGATCCGGGAGCCGACGCCAAGAGTTCGCTTAGATCAGCCCACAATTCGTTAAGCGTGCAAAATACGACTTCCGCCAAATTCAGACGGAGATAGACACTCTCACTCACCACTTCGACGACTAACGACAACAGGGTCAAGATGTAAGTCGCCCTTACCGGTGATACAGGAACGTTCAACTCGAAATGATTCAGGTCGCTGATGGATTATAATTTTCAGGAGTCACCGGAAGTTCGAAGCGCCTCGGCACGGTTCGTCAACCTCTGCTTTTCACCACTCGCTCGACGTTGGGATATGAAGTTTTTTTTCGCGTGGACTGGGTACTGACACAGGTCGCTACAGGCTCCCTCGCCTACTTGCCTCGCAAGCGCGCCGCCAGACACCGTGGAAAGGTCAAGAGGTCAGTCTCTCGATGATGGAAAAGAAAATTTCTTTGCAATCGCGATTTGAGAGGCAGTATACTAAAAGTTTTCTCTTCGCGACAGCTTCCCCAAGGATGACCCCAAGAAGCCCGTCCACTTGACCGCCTCCATGGGTTACAAGGCCGGTATGACCACTGTTGTCCGTGATCTCGACCGCCCCGGTGCCAAGATGCACAAGAAGGAGATTGTTGAGGCTGCTACCGTTATCGAGACTCCTCCTGTACGTGAACCGACCCCGACCATCAAGGAGGAAAATATTTTTCTGGGCCCTGTTTGGGCGACCGCTCTCCCGATTCGAGCAACCACTTACATGTTTCTCATCTATAGCTTGTCGCTGTCGGTGTTGTCGGTTACATCGAGACTCCCCGTGGTCTCCGCTCTCTCACCACCGTCTGGGCTGAGCACTTGAGCGACGAGGTCAAGCGTCGCTTCTACAAGAACTGGTACAAGAGCAAGAAGAAGGCCTTCACCAAGTACACCAAGAAGCACGCCGAAGAGAGCGGTGCCTCCATCACCCGCGAGCTCGAGCGCGTCAAGAAGTACTGCACTGTCGTCCGTGTCCTCGCCCACACTCAGATCCGCAAGACCCCTCTCAAGCAGAAGAAGGCCCACCTTATGGAGATCCAGGTCAACGGTGGCTCCGTTGCCGACAAGGTTGACTTCGCCCGCAACCTGTTCGAGAAGCCCATCGAGATCGACAGCATCTTCGAGAAGGACGAGATGATCGATGTCATCGCCGTCACCAAGGGTCACGGTTTCCAGGGTGTCACCAGCCGTTGGGGCACCAAGAAGCTTCCTCGTAAGACTCACAAGGGTCTGCGTAAGGTCGCTTGTATCGGTGCCTGGCACCCTAGCCACGTCCAGTGGACTGTTGCCCGTGCCGGTCAGATGGGTTACCACCACCGTACCTCTTGCAACCACAAGGTCTTCCGTGTTGGCAAGGGCTCCGATGAGGGTAACGCCTCCACCGAGTTCGATATCTCCAAGAAGCAGATCACTCCGTAAGTTGCCCTGTGTATTTGGTGTCTGGTGACAGGTTCGCTAATTCATTTTCTGCAGTCTTGGTGGTTTCGTCCGCTACGGTGAGGTCAAGAACGACTTCCTTCTCCTCAAGGGTTCCGTCCCTGGTGTTAAGAAGCGTGTCATGACCCTCCGTAAGACCCTCTACCCCCAGACCAACCGCCGTGCCACCGAGAAGGTCGAGCTCAAGTGGATCGACACCTCGTCCAAGTTCGGACACGGTGCTTTCCAGACCCCCGAGGAGAAGCGCGCCTTCCTGGGTACCCTCAAGAAGGACCTTGCTACCTCTGCTTAGGGTGTTTAGGGACATTTCGGGATGGAGTAGTGCGAATTATATTTTCTTTCAATAAAAAGCGAATACCTTTCAAGTCTGCTCCCATGACTGGAAAGTTAGTCCGGCCTTTCCCTTTGGTCTAGTTTACGTAGTCGGACGTCAACATTATGAGAAGTTAATTTATGCCCCAAATCCTTGGAAACATGCGTGTTCTGTAATGTAGAAAATGAGAACTAGAAGTATCGACCACTACGATGGCTCAAAGGGTATAAGCATATTTTTGCATAGTGCACCGTAGGTTTGTGCGTGAAAAAACAAAAAAGCTTGCCATCCGCAGGAACAAGCCCAACACCCCGACATCCCCATCTTGTTCTACGGCAAGCAACACCGGTCTAGTACCATACCACCCATACTCCAGTACCTTCTAGAAACCCATTTCGAACCTAGTCCTCATTATCTTTAGCCGAGAAACTCCCTCCTTCCTGGGGCTAGTCGATTTGATGATGAGCGTCCCTCTGCGACGGTGGCCGCCCAGCAGCCGCGGCAATTGCGTCATTGATCGTATCTCGCGTTGGGCTTCATCACTTTCTTCTTCTCCCGCCTTGCCCACGCCTGCTACTGTTCACTTTTCTTCTCCCCACCAACAGCCAAACCAACTGTGCACACTATCCCGACCCCGAACATCTCTATATCATCACCAGTGCATATCCCGATCCATTCACCTTCTGAGCAACCCCCTTGTTTCACTGTCCAGAAACCCCGCCCTCATCGCCACCCGATCCCCAACGACGACAACAGTCACCACCACCACGACCATCCGCACCATGTCCTCCGACGACGCCTACATGTCCTTTCTGAACAAAGCCAACGCGGACCTGGGCACCGCCCGCAGCAACCAGCAGACGAGCAGCAGCACCAGCAGCCAGGACCGTGCCGCGCGCACCGAAACCGTGCACACGGGCGTCAGCATCCCCGGCCCTCTCACCTCGGTGGATGCGTTCTACATCTCCGAAACCGACGAGCCTTTCGAGCCGGTCGCGCTGAAATGGGATGGCGCCAATCGGGGCGTGTGGCCTGATGCTTGTACGTTGTCCCCTTTGGCAAAGAGAACCAAAGAGAGAAACTCAACTAACCACACTTCCCCAAAAACAGCAAACTTCTCCAACCTCATCGCCTCATCCGACGACCTCACCCCAGCCATCGAGACCCTCTCCCCGGCGTCTTTCGACCCCAGGAACCAGTACGCGTCGGCCCTGCGCGCGGTGCGCGCGGCCGCCAGCCAGGCGTCCGGCGGCGGGGAGCCCGGCGTGCAGGAGGCGGACGTCGACGTCAAGGTCTACCGCGTGGAGGTCGGGAGCGCGCGGGTCGAGTATTATGTGTTAGCGTTGGATGCGGAGGGGGGCTTGCTTGTGGGGTTGAGGGCTAAGGCGATTGAGTCTTAGGATTTTTGACTGGTGTGGCAACGGGGAGTTGGTTGTGTATATTGTTTTATGAGGTAATGAAATCGTGTGGTCTTCTTTCGACTATTTTAAAGGGGATGAGGATGGAGGGTGTGGACGTTTGGTGTAATGGGAGGATTGGTTGGTGGGTTAGTGGTAGTATGCTGTAGGCTTGTAGTATTTCGATTAAGGTGCGGCTGTGTGGGAGGATATATTCCTATGCTGGGAAGCTTCGTGGTAAGTGTTTATCAAGTTGTCGACTGGAGACGGTTTGTTGGATTCCGGTGACTGTCTCACGATCAGTGGGAAGGACTGTAAATTCTCTGCCACAAATAACATTCTACTTCATATCATGGTTGCTGATGCTATCTGCGACATAGGATGCCTTTTATATATTTGAGAGTCATAGCAGATACGTATCAGGCCGGATAAAAGAGACACGACAGTCCCTTTAATCTTCAAGGCACTTTTCTCACGACGATGGGCAGCTATCAGCCTCGTTATATATTTCGAGTCGCTCATACAAAAACATTACCTCACTCCAATGCTACTTTCCGAACGCCCGAAGAACGACCGGTATCTGTGTCTCAGTCCTTTACCATAGATGTCACTCCAAGGTATACCGAGTCAGTCGACAGTGGTGCTGTACAGCCATTCTCCATATATCATCCTCGCACGGACCACTTATATTTCGTTCTCAACAAAGTAGAATAGCCGAGTACACAGCCAGAAAAAGGGTTTCTAGACCCCCTCCCTTAGTTGTCTCACAAGGTGTGCTCATATTCAATTTGACCATGGTTTAGGTTCATGATTGGTTGGGTGGGTAGCTATCAGAACGACGAAGAGGAGGAGGAGGCAAGAGGAAGGGCAAACTAGGATGCGGACGCCCTCGGTGAGTGACCGATCTTCCTGGATCATCAATCAGCCTTTCAACTTATCTGTCATTGTGAGATCTGATCTATCCAAATCTCTTAGATTTAGCATCAGGGCTTCGTCATCGCAGGATGGAACTAGTTGTTGAAACAGTCGATCTTCAATGTGGTAACTCTATATCGTTGTTCTGGAAAAGGATGGTCGGTCTATTGATCTTGATCAGGTTAAGGTTTGTTGAAGATGCCTGAGTCATTATTGGGGTTCGGCTCCTTGGATTGCCGAGGCTGGTCTGAGGACGAACTGCGGCCCTACACTTAGCGACTCAGTAGGTATTACGGTAGTCTATCCATGATGCAAAGCGTTGTTTGAGAATGGCCCTATGAAGTTGCGATGAAGCATGTCAAGCAGTTTCTTTCCCTTGATTTAGCACCCCCTGCACAGTGACGCAGGCACTCTGACAGTTGAGGAGCACGATCCACCAGTCAATTGTTATAGCTTGGGGAACGATATTCAATCTCAGGGGGAAGCACGCGAGCAGTGCGCTGAAGGGTTGCCGTTGTCTGTGCGGGATCTTCTCTAGCTACGCCGTACCTTCTGGATCACTGCTAGAATAGGGGAGGCTAACTAAGTTACAGCCTACAGGGGACTGGGACTACAAGGTTCCGGCCGATGCGGGTGGGTATGGTATGAAGGAAATTACTGAGGTCAGGATGTACGGGGTACTGTTCCGGGACATCGAGACGGGTAGACTCTCGCTATTTATACCATTGTAAGACAGGATGGATTTCCCCCCCACCCCCTGACAAGGCAACAATGGTGAACGGGTCAATGGAATGTGGTTGTTGCAGTCGATGAGTAGGAATGCCAGAATTTCTTGGGGGGTTGTTTTCTGGGTGTGCACGGTATGATACCGTAAGAAAGATCGACGCTAGTGTCCTCCTAGTAGGCTTACTTTAAAACCGACTAGTCTCGGCCCACCCCAAGCGATCTCCAGATTCCATGGGATCAAGGCCGTCATTCTTAGCTCTCGCCGGCAACCAAATTCTTCCTCAACATTCACCTCCTTGTTGCTGTCACTTGTTGGGTTATCTGTTGATTCAAGGTCTGGTGCGAGAAAGAAGGAGACTCACCTCGTTCAGGTGCGATTCATGCTGTTGTTACTGCTAGCTACTGCTGCTGCTTGTCAAACTAGGGCAATGAGGCTGCACGCTAGCCATGCACAAGTGGTTCGCCATCACATGGTTCCTGGCAGCAGAGTCGATCAGATCCAAGTATAACTCTTCGATGCTCGACGCTCATGCAGGCGCCACTGGCCACATAGTTACTTTTTGACTCTTTTTCTTTTTCTTTTTCTTGTTTTTTCTTTTTACCCCAGCGTCGCAAACAACATTTGGCCGATAGGCTCCACTGCAGGGCCCAATGGGTGCACAGGATTGAAGCATTCTTCGGCCAAGAGAGTTGTTGTCCCTTGATCGGCGGATGCCTGCACTTCCATTATGTTCTGTGTTTGGATCAAACTCTCCCCTCGGGCAGTCAAGTCAATCTGCAGTGTCTGTCTGTATGACTATGTACTGTACCTGCAGTGCCAGGGTCCCGTAATATTAGTTGACCATCTATGTAACAGTTGCTATTATTGCATGGAAATAATTTGGGAAACGGAACAAAGCGAAAAAGAAAAGTTGGTTCTGGCCTTGATCTCTCTGTATCCTTGTTCTTGTCCTCTTCTTTCTCTCTTCCTCTTCTTCCTCTTTTGACTCCATTGCAGTCTTCACTCATCGCGCTGTTCCCACACCCCCCTTTGGGCGACGGGCCGCATTGCTTCCAACCAACCTCCATTCGCGCCCTCTCACCCCCCCCCAAGGCCTGTTTTGGTCTCCCTGTACCATTCTTTTGCATGTCCCCTCCATCGCTCGCTTCCATTCTCTTTCTTTCCCACGCTGTCTGCGCGCGACAGCTGCCTCGTTCAACCCTTCTTTAACATCACTCACCTCTAGCCTGGGTCAGCCTGTCAGTCCTCTACCAGCGCGCGCGTATCTTCATGTCGTCGCAGCCACTGCGGCCTTGTCTGTGAGCATTGGGTGCACTATTTCGTCTGGATTGGTTTCAGTCTGGTTTACAATTCACCACGCGTCAACTGTCTCTCTTTACGTCGCCCCTGCCTCGACTACAGTCATTACCGCGTAACCTATCATCAACTTAATCACGGGGGACAACAGTGTCGGGAAGGTTGCTTCGTGATTTATGGAGATCTAGTCTCTGCTGCGAGTGCGGGACCATAACACAAGCCAGGCTGTTCTCCAGTCAACGAGCCTGCATATCCCAATCGCCCCCAAGTCGACCAGTTCGGGAAACAACAGGCCTGACGGTGGATCACCAGACCGGTGTCAGATCTTGTGCTTGCGGGTGACAGTGAATCAATAGCAACTGAGAACAACAAGGAACGGTTGTTGGGATTGGAACAGAACGCCATATCGCACCATTATGTCCTTTCAATCCACGGGACGCGGAACTCCTCACATCCGACTCAATTCAGGACGTCAAGACCCCTTCGCCGACTCCGATGACCCGTATGCATCGGTGCCACACCCGCACATTGGGCGGGCGCTGACGCCGGGGATGGTGCAGTCTCCCTCCGATGGCACGTTGCAAACGACGATGTGGGGGTCGCCGACACCCCAGGAGTCGACCGAGTTCCTGATCCCGCCGCGGCCCTACCGCGGCCACCGGGAGGAGATGGACAGCATGCGGTCGACGGAGCTGTCAACGCGGTCGTCGCGGCGCACGAGTTGGAGCTCCGAGGGTGCCAGTGCGGACACCCGCGGGTATGTGTATACCCCGTTCGAAGATTTACGGTCCCCGTCACGCGCCGGAAGCGATGAGGTGGATGTGAACACGCAGACGGTGTCGGAGAAGTACAACATCATGCCCATGGAGGGACTGCTGCTGTTCCCCGAGGATATCGAAAAGGATGACTACCTGCACGAACCCAACCCGAACGACGATCAAGAGTGCGACATATGGAACAGGCGCGGGATTGCAAATGTTGGGGGGTTGGTTCTGATCACTATAGGCTTCTTGGTGTTGTTTATCGGCTACCCTGTCATGTATGGATGCAATCTAGTTTGATCTGGGGATTTTTGTTTTGTACGGAGAATGAATGCTGATTATCTTTTCTTCTTTCCAGGTCGGCGGTAGAGAGCTTCAGAAAACCGTCCAGACCATCATGTCATGAAACTGATCCCCTGTGTCTCGAGGTCGGCCAGCAGCCGATGATGGCCAATATTCGGACCGGCTTGATAGACCCGGAAACGCCAAAGTCAGCCCTGAGCAAGACCACGGCGGATGGCAAGGAATGGCAGTTAGTGGTAAGGATGCGGTTGCTTGTCCCCAAAGGGGGCGGAATCAGCCAGCATGCCGCGGGCGTGGTTTTTGGAATTGTGGCTGATTTTTCGCAATGCAGTTTTCGGATGAATTCAACACTCCGGGCCGAACATTCTACGACGATGATGATGCCTACTTTCAAGCAGTTGACCTGTGGTATGGTGTCACGCAGGACTTGGAGGTACGGGCTTGTTTGTCGGCTGTGGTATCTCATCGTGGTAACTAACTGCGCGCATAGTGGTATGACCCGGATGCAGTCACGACGAGAGATGGAAACCTTGAGATTCGGTTTGATGCCTTCGCTAATCACAACGTCTCATATCGGTCTGGCATGATGCAAAGCTGGAACAAGTTGTGCTTCTCCGGTGGTCGTTTAGAGGCGAGTGTCTCACTTCCCGGCTCCGGTGATGTCTCCGGTTTCTGGCCCGGCTTTTGGGCCATGGGGAACCTAGGTCGACCTGGTTATGCTGCCACAACTGATGGCACGTGGCCGTATAGCTACCACGACGAATGCGACGCCGGCATTACCCCCAACCAAAGCTCCCCGGACGGTATGAACTTCCTGCCGGGGATGCGTCTCCCCGCATGCACGTGCGCTGGCGCGGATCATCCTTCCCCAGGGAAATCGCGTGGCGCACCTGAGATTGACGTGCTCGAAGCTAATGTCATCGCCTTAAATGGTGATCAAAATGCATATATCGGCTCCGTGTCTCAGAGTCTGCAGATGGCGCCGTTCGATATTTGGTATATGCCTGATTATGGTGAGTTCGCTCCGTGCTCTTCTTGCTATCTCTCTGACCTTGTCGCAGATTTCACCGCTGTCTATGATCCCACAATCACGCAGATCAACTCTTACCGCGGAGGCCCGTATCAGCAGGCTATGTCGGGCCTCACCAACCTCAACAACCACTGGTACAATGGCTCAGAATACCAGGTCTACGCCTTTGAATACACGCCTGGAGCGACAGGCGACATCACCTGGTTTGTTGGCCAGGACAAGACGTGGACTTTGGACGGTCGCGCCATCGGACCCAATGGCAACATCGGGCAAAGACTGATCCCCGTGGAGCCGTTGTCGATCGTCATGAACTTGGGCATGGCCTGGAACTTTGCCCCGATCAACGAGAGCATCAAGAGCTACTTGCCGGGCTACCTGCGATTCGACTATATTCGGATTTACCAGGACCCCGAGCACACCAGCGTCACCTGTGATCCGCCGGGCTACGAGACTACGGACTACATTGCCAGACACCCGGAGGCTTACCGCAATGTAAACAAAACCACTTGGTATAATCCTCCACCTTTTTTTTTTTTTTTTTCTTGTCCATGTATGCTCACATCTCCCAGGGACGGCGCCGGTTATGAATGGCCCAAAAATACCTTGATGCATGGATGTTAGACGGTTTCGATGTTCAACTCGCCACGACCTTTCGAGTAATACAAAAAAACACTTATCAGTCCTCACCAAGCCCGCCGTGTCGACTTGGCCTTTGTGGCCACGCGGACGCAAAGGTCCAGATATCAGCGGCACTTCGTTGAGGGTGTCATGAGTCATTTCTTTTTAGCGGCATTTTTGTTTTTATGGCGTTTAGAGGAGAGACGCGCACGCGTTTGTGTGTGTGGTATAGGTCTTGGAGGGGCGGTTTTCACTTCCATATTTGCATTTTTCTTCTTAGAGATATTTCCGACGTACTTTCTCCTTTCTACTCTTCCCCGTCGCAGTTGATTTTTTCTTCGAACAATTCTGTCATCTAATCAATCCCGCATGCTGGCATACTTCCGCAGATTGATCTATTGTCCTGTTTATCTTGGTTTGCGTGAGGGTGTGGGTATGGTTCTCATTATTAGGGTCTCATTTTCGAGGTGGAGGAGAGAGACTCAACGAGACGTTAAGAGCTTAGGGGTGGAGTGCAGCAAGGAAAAATACCTTTCGTTAGACCATAGCATAGTACGAATAAGACTACCACTACTGAGGAACTACCGAAGATGGGTACTGTGCCTGCGAGAGTTGATCGGGATGGACTTATTCTTTGCACGTGAGATCTGAATCCGACAAGCAGTTTCGAACATAGGAGTTCGCTAATGTGTTAGATGCTTAGCAGGGCTGGAGAGAAGAGATGAAGCATCCCCGCTCGCAACATTGAATCCCCGTCCTTCCTGGCTTTTTCAGGCAGCTCCGCTGATTTTCTTGCAAGAAAGCCCTTTATAGAGCGGACCACAGCTCTCGCTATCATATAGCCTCATACCACAAAGCAAAGGGTAGAAGACGACGCCGTGAGTAGCAGCTCCCATGATTCCGAAAAGCGGACATCTCCATGGATGGGCTGTGGAGGACTTCGTATGGGTGAGATTTGGATCAGTGGGCTTTTAGCACAGCTAGCTTTCTCTGTACCGGAGCATTCTGATCAATTTCATGCATTAGCACCACATGGTACATCTTTGACCAAGATAAATAGAATAATCTAAACCAATCTCTCGATACTCCCGTGGGACTATTTTCCTAATGAGTACTGCTTAGTCGGGTAAGTTAACTTATAGTTGTTCGGTAAACAAGCCGAGCCTAAAAGGCGGTCAGGTAGGTCGATGACGTTGGAATTTGCACAGGTCCAGTACAACAGTACCGCCGCAGTGCAAACAGGCACAACAAAGTCCACCACCACCACCACCACCATCGCATCATCTCCGCCGCCCCCCACATTCAAACCACTGCCCACCCTCCCGACTCCGACTCGTCCATCCCAACCGATCATCCTGCTGGTCAGGGTCGAACCTTGACATCTGTCGCCTCGCTCTATCGCTACCTCACCTCATATATCGCATACCTGACGCCCGCAGTTAGTATCTGCTGGGTGCTTATACTCGGCCCAAAGAACCGGCAAAAGGACCTCGCGCGCTCTGTCGTATAATCTCTATTGGCCCCAAAGCCGACTTCAAACGTCCCACCCAACCACGCAAGACGGCCACTCAATAGTGAACGACCCTGGCGCCTGAGAAGCGCATTCCATCGCAAGACTCGCAGCGATACACAACTCCCCATACCGTGACCTCATTCTCATCAACCTCCTCCGAAGGAACGCGTTGGTAGCAACATGTTCCACCCCAACATCCACGGCGTGCCTTCAGGCCACAGCCACGGCCACGACCACGACGACCCCATCATCCTCGACGACGATGAGCGGGATGATCAGCCGTACAACTCCGACACCGACACCTCTACCTCCGACTCCATAATCAGCAGTACGCACCGCCTGCCGGCGCATGTATTAGCGCAGCAGCAGTTATCCCAGCTGCAACGGACGCAGAACAGTACGGCCCCTTCTTCCTTCCACCCCGACATACACACTGACTATCAAACAGGAACAACAATAAATCCCCTGCACCAGTTCCCCACCACAAACGGCACCACACTAGGCGACTCGACCACAGCCACAACTGCAATAACAGAAACCACCACCAACCCTCCCAACCCACCCACAACCACAACCACAAACACCCCCTACCAAACCTCCCTCGAACAAGACAAAAAGCTCCGCAGCCGCATCCGCGAAGAACGACACGCCGCCCTCTGCGTCCTCATGGACCGCGAACTCCTCACCGTGCAGGCCCTCGCCGCCCAAGAGGTATGCCCCCAATCCCCTCCCCAGATACCCCTCCTTGCTGACTTTCCCACCCCCCAAAAAGTCCATCCCCCAAACCCGCCGCCGCTTCCTCGCCAAACTCCTCAGCCCCGAGGACCCCGACACCGCCGCCAGCCTCCAAGGCGACCGCTTCGTCATCCAGCATCCGATGCGGTTGGGGTCCGTGTCCGGGGGAGGAGCATCGAGATCCGGGACCGCGTCGCCGGCGGCGGCGGCGGCTGCTGCTGGCGCATCGCCCGCTACTCCGTCGGGCGGAGACTACGACGAAGACGACCGGCGGTTGCGGATCGGGGTCGGGATCGGCGGGCCCATCACGACGACGGGGTTGGTTGTTCCGCGGCAGGTCGAGGAGGTGTATGAGACGGATGAGGCGGGGTGGAGGCGGCCGCCGCCGGGGGGAGGAGCGGAGCGTTTTGGTGCTGGTGGTGGAGGTGGTGGGAGTGGCACGAATCGGGGGTCTCCGGCGGCGGCAGGGTCCTCGGTGTCGTCGCCGGCCGGGAGGATGAAGGCAGGGACGACGAGTAATAGTAGTAGTGTGGCGGCGACGGCGGGGTCGACGCCTGAGAGACAGCGGAGGGGCATCAAGGGGCGGTCGCAGCGGGAGAGGGAGCGGGAGAGAGGGCGTGCGCGGAGGGGCTTGGTGGGTGGTGCTGGTGCCGCGGCCTCGATCTTTGGAGCTTCTCTTACATAACTAAAAGTCCTAGGTCGTCACTCCCTGGGGATTCTCTCCTGCTACTTCAAACTGAACACCAGTAGTCGGCTATACTAGGGCATTGGATACTATACCATAATCACCAGTTCTCCTACAGGGTCACAGAGCCTGAAAGCTCAAGATCAGGCTGAAGGAAAAGACGCATGTTGAAAGATCTCCTTATACGATTCGCCCCCAAAGGACAACAAAGTAAAAAAAAAAGTGCCTCATATACATTGGCTGGCCGTGAAAACAAAAACCGTACCCCGTGATTTCCATCAGTCCATAAAAAGTACTATACACGCGATGTGAACACAAAAACAGAATCAGAATCGAGCCCAGAGCTAAACAAGACAGAAAGAGGATGGTGGTGGTGGACACCATCATCTAAAGTATACCCACAATCCGGCTAGTTTCCAAACATGGCAAGGGGGGGGGTATCTAAGTAGATCAAAACCGTTCTTTTTTTCCCTTGACGGCGTGATAAGTTCAACTCTTCATCTCGGTGAGGGTTGACATAATGATGTCTCGACATCTCAATTGCAATTTTTTTTCTTTTTAGGGTTTCATCTCAATCATTCTTTCGGCTGTGTATGGCATTTCCAATTGGAGGAATGCCAACGGTCTGCTACTAAGCAGACCGTCAGTCCAAATTCTTGGTGTCTGGTTCCCGCGCAGCGCACACGGCTGAATAAAAGGATCCATCGTCAGTAGGAACAAGAAGTCGCTTATCTGCGCTTTTCAGCGTTCAGCAGACTCGCAGCATCGCCTACTTGCTTTCGCTCGGAGACTTCCCGCGTGCGCATCCGCGCACGGGCACGTTCGATATTCATAGGCGTCAATCTTTGGGATGGTGATGGTGATGGATCCGGTTCCGAGTAGAAAGGATGCAGTCTGTGGGAAGTAGAGAACCGGACACGACCATCCCTCATGACTGGTAATTGTCATTGCAGGGGTTCCGAGCTCGAGGAGAGTCGGTTCAGGTGGAGGTAGACGTCCGTCCCGTATCTGTGAGAGCTGTTAGCCATCGTGCTTCTTGAATTCCCTGCCACAAAGGCTCGCTACTCACCCCTCCATGCTGATCAACTTCAGATCGCCACCAAAGTACCGAGCATACAAACGACTGATCGGAAGACCGTAGCCAAACCCGGCCATGGGAGCCTTGAAGTCGCTCTTGTCGAAATCTGGGTCCAGACTTGGGGTTTGCTCGACGGTCGTGTACATATACGTCCAAACCAGGGGAATGGCAGAACGAGGGATGCCACCACCTTCGTCGGAAATCTTGATTGTGATATCTTCCTTTCCTTCCGCGATGATGACTTTGGTGACGGGGAAGGTGTCCTTGTCCACACCCTTGGCCTCCACCACCGCACGCAAGGAGTTCTTCAGGGTCTCAAAGAGCATATGTGACAGATGTCCTGGCACATACATGAAGTTCAGGTCCTCTTTACACACAAGCTGCACCTTGGGGGCATCGAACAATCCGTAGTAATCCTGGCAGACGAAACGGGCATTTTCGATCGCCTCGAGGGCTATCTCCCGCACATTTGTCTTGGTACAGATTATTCCGACGTAGTGTGGATGCTTTACGTGAGTCTGTTCAGTCAATGCGATATGCTGCCCAATCAACATTCGTATGCCGATCCTTGACATATAAAAGCGATCGAGAAAGGATTGCACGGTCGAGTCGATTTGCAGGCGCTGGCGCTTTCGTTTCCATTCGAGAATACCCTGGGCCACGGTGGTCACGACGCTGTCGTGTCTTCGCTTGATTTCCTTGAGTGTCTGTGCAAATCGCTCGTTGTAGTCGTTCAGCTCCGGTGGCCAATTTCCTTGATCATCGGATGGTGCATAATATCTTCGAGCGGCCGCAGCCTTGCCATTTCCATTGCCGTTTGACGTGGAGGACGGGGAGGATCGATACTGTCCTTCGCGTATGCTGGGGTTCTGCGTGACTTCCGAGAGGATCCTCGAGGTCCCGCCGTTAAGCTTTCCCGGGCGCAGCAGGCGGGCCTTGACTTCCTGGGTGAGGGTGGGTCGCGGCAGCGTAATGATTTCCTGCCGGGGACGTCAGCGACAACTCCGGCGGACAGAACCCCGAGCGGGCGGTGGGTGAGTCATACCTCGAACGATTGTGCGTACCAATCTTGAACTTTTTTGATTGAGGGCATTTCACTGAGTCCATCGGGAAGTTCTCCAAGATCCTGGACACGGTGGGCGAGGCGAATGGGCAGTTCTTCTGAGAGGAATTGTGACGCTCGGAACAACGTGCCTGTATGCGGGTAGCGACCATGAGATTAGCCGATGTCGGTCATCTCCCCAGCGTCATTTGGGATGAAACAGAATCACAAAGTGCGCAAGCACCTCAACACATACCGACTGATGGTCGATCTCCAAATTGAACCATTTGTCGGAGAGAGACGCCGGTCGCTGGGAAGCTGGCATAGTGTCTGATGGTGTCCATCAGTCTCTCCGACGGCTTCCACATGATGTTGAGAGTATCAGGCCGTCCGGCCTGGAATTGCGCTGGTCAAAACCAATGTGATGAGAAACAAACTCTCGCAAGTCAAAAGCTAGGCAGGAGAAATGGATGTCAGTAAAATCAAAGTTGGGACGAATGCAGAAGGCTGTAAGGAGGAACTACCGAGGTTGGGGGAGTCCCCTCCGTCTCGCAGGCGAGCTCCGGAACGGCGGGCGGTAAGAAGCCCCGGAGTGGGATATCTCAGTGTGGGAAAGTGACTTGGAATTGATAGACACCAGAACCCAATGGAAAATTATGAAACTTTTTCGAGAATATAGATGGTTCTAGATGAGCACACGAGCAGTATGGGTAAAGGGGGAAGAAGGAAAGAAGAGAAGAAGAAAGATGGGGGGGGGGGGGGGAAAAGAGAGAGAGAGCGAGGGAGGGAAAGGAAAGATGCGGGCAGAGGGAAGTAAGTACTAAGTAAGCTCTGGACGCGGACTGGGCTGGACAACCAGCAGCAGCGAATGACTCCTTCGGGGAAAGTTGTTGCGGAGACTCTCTGCGATTCCCGGGGGAAGACGGTCACGTGCCATGGTGGGGGGAAAAGACCGCTTCCGATCCCGTGATGGGCCGAGGAAGTAAATTAGTTGTAGTGAGTGTACTCAATCCTTAGTCAGTCACTCGCAGGCAATAATCAGCCGATCCGTACAGCAAGTATTGGAGTACACTCGACTTGTTCCTGGGCACTGACTACTGCTCATTCAGGCAAGCTGCTCATGATCAGACCATGTCTGACATTTCCAGCGACAAAGCTTGCTTCTTCTATTTATTGACTTTACTGTCCTTACCACACCATAATCTACCAGCGCCAAGACCTACCACTAACCACGGAGGAATTACCGGTGCAAATGAGCTGCACGTTACAACGTCCCGGATCTCCCCTTCGCCCGAGGATGGTTCGACGCGGCACGACGCAGATACTCCGACTGGTCAGCCGTCTGACTCTCGGGGTAAGAATTGTGCACTTTGCGCACTTTGGGGACTGTCCACCCGAATGTCTGATGTCTCTTCGAGTCTTCATCCCAATCCGCGTCCCTGGTCACTGGTTCTCCTCCGTCACACTCCGTCGAGGTACTGTACCTGATTAGGTTTCTTGCGTCCGGGGTTGTTGTGCTTGCTACCCGCGGTTCTTTAAGGTCCAAGACAAGCTTGTGTACATCTCGTGTCTCCCCGGATTCTCAGTACGAAAATGTCACCACTACCGGCCGGTTTCACATTTATCCCCTTTCCCCCCCCCCAAACCCACCCCCCCTTGTCGCCTCCCAACTCACCGCTCAGTGACTCACATGCTCCCGATACAAATAGCAACCATCTAGAATCCCGGTCGAACATTTGCCGTGGTCTGAAGCATCCCGCTCGATCTGGAACCCCCAAAGGAAAGCCCAGGAAACCGACGGTTGCTTGACCGTAGTCTCGCGTATCCTCCACGACTGTAAATCGCTGCTGACAAGAAATACCAGTGGCCTGTATATTCTGCACTGGTTTCGCTATGGTTGGTGACCAGCGCGATGAGGTCTCACCGATAAATCGTCACGCGAGGACAGACATGTCATTTTGTCCTTCCCTCGGAGGATTGAGATGAAACGGGGGAAAAAAAGCAATGAGAAACAAGCGAAAGATTTATTTAAACAACGGCCGCGGCAACGGTGATCACCGTGGACAGCTTTCCCTCTCTAATTAAGTCAGTGATCAGGACACCCACTGGGCCCAATCACACTTAGCCTTGGTCTTAATAATGATGATAGGACCAGCATTGAGGTACTGTAGGTATACTACGACATCACCATCAGTCGCATAGGGCTGGAGAGAAAAAGAAAAATAGAAGGATTGAAGCGATGCCCAACCATACCTCTCATGCTCAATTCAGGCTGGGTCTTGTTCATCATATCGTCGTCATGCTCGACGACGCTGGCAGTGATGCCTTAGATCCGTCGAACAAAAGTCCCTGGAACCGAGCAGGGCCACGAAAGGAAACCCTGCGATCTCTTAATCCTCGCCCACCACCCCCTTAGCATGGGTCTGACACGAACCGACTCTAGACCTCGTCACTCCCTGAACGACATTATACAACCCCAGCTGAAGGTCGAGAGAGACCGTGAATCTTCGTCTTTCGTACCTCCGAAACTTTTGTTGATAGTGGAGTCTTGTTAGGTCTCGTTAACTTTTTGACACCTGTCTGGCCCACCAACCAGAATACCAATTGTCCGTTGAGAGTATTCCGCCAGATCATTTAAGTGGCTGTCACCGCACCGTGCGGTGGACTGACTGTTCGGTCCCTCGAACAAAAAAAAAAAAGGAGCACCAAAAGCGACCCTCTCCTCAACCTCTTAATCTCTACTTGGCCTCGACATTCGACCTCGTCACAAAACGTCTCGCGACTGTCCAAAGCACTCCTGCTTTCACAGATCTGCTTACTCCCCCGAGTGCTTCGCACATCTGGCTGATTGTACTGTTTATACAAGGCAAGTGAGAGGCTCCATTTGATATGCCGGATCAATTTCTTGCTCCGAGGCGCCCGTTTATTTGTGTGTGGGTGGATTGGATTTATTATTATTTACCGTTATTATAAGTTAGCCCGTTTTGTGGACGCGGACGGATCGAGAGACCCATCGACCAGTTCGTTGACTTGCAGAGGATCTTTTCCTAGACTGTTTTCCCTTTCATTTTCCACTTTAGTTATTCATTTCATATTTTGACGGCCTTGTTGGCGTCTTGTCTTTTTAGACTTGAAAAAAAATGGGGTGGCTATGATGCAAAAGTGCGCCGCACGACATCGAACCCTCTTTTTTTTTCCGTTGGTATTTTCTCTAATATTTTTTTTATTTTTATCCTTTTTTTTTTTATTTTTCTATTGTTCCTTTACTTAACCTCTAGGATTCGCTTGGGCCATCTCTCTTCTAACCCACCATCACCCTTTAAAAAGTTGTCTGGATTTTCTAGTTGTCTTTCAATTCTGATTGTTAATGTTGTACCTCTATTCTGAAATTGGGTCGTGCACTCACTGATCATCAGCAAAGACCCGATAGGGAGGATCCGCAACTTCTCCAGCATTGCCTTTTCCGCGTCCATGCTACCATTGATGCCGCAATTCAGCCCATAACTGGCTCGGATCCAGTCTATTAGCCCCTCCCATGATTACTACTATCTTTCCTTTTTAAGCCGATTTCTGCCCGGTTCATCCACTGTGCGTGCCTGTGGCTAAGGCCTTGGAGGCTTCGTATTGGTTAATTCGCAGGGGCAAAGTGAACACTGGACAGACCCCCAAAGTGAAGGAAAAGCACCTCTGCGAGTGTAGAGGGCAAGGAAATTGCACGTGGGGCAGCCGAGTGCGACGACTATCTAACAGGCAGCCCTCGAGGGCCAGAAATACCCAAAGGCCAGGAAGCGAGACAGAACAGAGGCAGAGAACACCAAGCCAGGAGAAAAAAAGTCACGGTGACAGTGAGACGTACGGAAACAAAAAGCCACAATCAAGAGGACGAAGGGCAGGCGCCTCACGTCCTGGCCGTTTTGTGCCCCTCTCTGGTCTCAGGTCTCATCAGCATCGCCGTCATTCTGTGCCGCGCCTGGATTCGTCTCCAGTACTTTTACTATCAACCTCACCCCTCCTTCCGGATACCCCTCGGGCTGTTTGGCGGGGCTCATCTCCTTCTACTGCGGGCCTCTTTGCTCTGCTCGGTCTCTGTCTTGCCACGCAGACTTTCGTTACCCTAAAGCAAACGGAACCCTCCAGAAAGTTGTTGTCCTTCCCAGCAGATGCATCTTCCCTAAACCCTCCTCTTCTTGTACTACCATCCTCCCCCAGCTGCAAGTGCATGTAAAGAAAAACCCTGTTTCCCCCTCCCCGATATGTCTCGTCGCCGTGCTTCCCATAGCGAACCAATGGGCTTATCATCCGCGATGAACGAGGCGTTTGCCTATCCGTTCTCTGGAACGCAACAGAACAATGCTCCACCACGACGGGGTCCGATCGAGGGACCCAACGGACGAAGGTTGATTCGTAGAGTCACCTGGCGATCCTCCACATACAAATTGATGGCCTGTCTGTGGGTGTTGGGCGTTTTCTATATTGTCTGGCTCATCCGAGACATCTTCTATTTGCCTTTCACCCCTTCGCAGAAGGGTCCCATTCGCCATGAACCTCAAACCGAGTAAGTTCGGGCCCTGCCGTCCCTAAACCTTTGTCCCCGGCGAGTCAGTCAGTGGCCAGAGTTACTTATTCAGCCCGCTTGGATACATAGTTTACTGGCTCAATATGTGGGCCGACGTGAGTGCGGCATCTCTTCTTTGTCCCTCTACAACACCCCGTCAACCGGCGATGGGCGAGCATCCAATCCAGCGTACTGCTCAACCCGAACTGCACTGCTAAGTGCCATGAGCAATGGCGGTCGTCACGGGTTTGATGCTGCGTACACGTCCCAAGGCAAGTGACAAGATTTACCGTGGTCCCGCTGTCGGGCACCTTGCCGAGAAATCCGCTCAGACAGTAACGAACCTTTCGTGACTCTCCGGCTGACTCGCCGTCCAGATTGTGCCTATCGTTGGTACTCCAGCTCTGAGGTGTGTGAGATCCTGCAGAGATTCGATGGGATAGTTTTTGTTGGGGATGATGCCCTAGCCGACGCCTATGCGGGGTTCAACATCCTTCTGAGAGAGAATCTCGCGACCGGCTCTCTTAGAGACTGGGAAATGGACAAGGACTTGAGCCAGAGATGTCGATGCGAGTCTCAATTCACCCAAGCAGCCTGTCTACCCCTGCGGATCACCTCGAGTGATGAAGTTGATGCACAAAGCGGCAGCCCCGCCTTGCGGACCCCATACTCGTGCCCCTCCCGTGAGTGACCCGGTGGCTGTACTATGCCGTAGCTCTCATTAGGGTTCAAGTATTGACTTTTGGGTTGAATTTAGGTGTATCTCATGCTTTCCTCGCCACTGATGGTTCCACAGCCTCCAAGAGTGCCCGCGACCACTTTCGCCGCCTGACAGGAAGAACCGCGGACCGAAGCAAGCCCGTCCCTGTGATCTTGAGCCTCTCGCTTTCGACCTCATACTCCCTCTTGGCCGCTCAGAAGAGCATGGACGAATGGCTATCAATGGCTAAGGCGACCAAACAAAACACCCCTTTCCTCTGGCTCGGTCCCACCGCCCCTGGCCTCCGGAAGGACGCTAGGGACAACATCCACGCATCCAGCTGGCAGTATTCGCAAGACACTATCAAGGACGCTCGTGCCCGAGGCATGGATGCTTTGGGATTGTACAATGCGACGCTGCAGGCCGAGAGCTGGGACGGAAAGCACTACGGTGAGCAAGTCGCTCTGGTGCAAGCAATGATGGTACGTTACCCTCGTTTCCCCTCTCATTGATTCTCGATCTAATATACACAGATCATCAACTGGCTTTCAACCTTCTAAGGGAAATACTTTCACTGGATGGCCTTGATACAACCAGGAGAAATAGCTACTTAAAAAGTACTTGACAAGGATGATATTGTATGAACATAAGGACCAAATCGTTTAAGCGTGGCATGGTGCGTTTCCTATCATTTCTATTATGCTCGTTACTGTCTCATCACATTCCCCACTACCTTTCCTTGGCTGCTTGATGTACCACTAGCCTCGTACTAACATAACCCTTTCTGTAAATAGTAAATGAGAAAAGAAAAAAAAAACATGTCGAACCAAGATCTCCAGCCTACCGACTCTTCTCTCCTTCTCTGTCCTTCTCCGTCCTATCACATATTCCACCAGGGACATAGCATCAGCTACCCTGATTTCTCTATCCGCTTATCGCCATTTCATACTCGGGACCACCTCGATTTCCTATTTTTTATGGGGAGTAAAAAAGTCTCATGTGCTTATACTCCACCTCGTGTGTATGCGTGTTTTTCTTTCGGTTCATTTCACTTTTTCTTGGTTTGTTGTTCCTTTACGCTTTTTGTTTGTTTATATTGTGTGTCGTTTTTTTTTTTTTTTTTTTTTTTCCCTCGAGTTTGTAGGCGGATAAGAATTATAGATAGATCATGACATTTATGACTTCCAACTGGAATCACGACAGCTTGTACTGTATATGCTGGAGGCTCGGCGGGACTTCGGCGCCTGAGGCCTGAAAGGCCTGGCGGCGGGCACCTCCAGGCTCAGCTCTCAGCCGCGAATTCCTTTTTGGGAAAGTCACACAAGGGCCCGCGGCTCTTAGATTGACTCTACGTATCCATCTAGCCTTCCACCAACCAACTCCAAACACCCGCTGGACCGCGGCCTTAGACTTAATACTGTCAAGCACCCACCACCCCCATCTTATTTCCTTCCTCTGTCTCTGTGACCATGTAGTTATCGCGGCTCCCGCTCATCTCATCTCAGCAAGAGAGACAAGAAGCTCTTTCGGCTATAGGTCGGTCAAATCCTCTCCACTAATTCATACGGACTACAATCCCTCCTCAACCCCGTAATACAACATGAATTGAACAAAACCATCTGCTATCATCAATTAAAGTATACCCGTATATACATGACCCGTCGCAATACAACAATCAAAAGTACAACCCCGGATTCTGTTCTGCTACACCCTAGCACTTTTCTTCCTCAGAACCGCGAAATTCCCCAAAAACTAGCATGTGACTATAATCGCTTCTACTTCTTATTTCTTCCCTTTCTTTTCCCTCTTATAAGAACTTTTTTTGACATTTCTTCGTTCTCAACTTGGGGGGGAGGGATTTACCAGGCTTGGAGTTTTGTATGTGTGTGTGTGTGTCTATACATACAGAGCGGCCGTCTCGGCCTTGGCGAGGGAAGCCTCGTAGGGCTGGAGGGCCTTCTTGACCTCGGTGGAGGTGAACTTCTCGACCTGCTGCGGGGCGCGGCCGACGAAGGTGCTGGGGTCGAGGAGCTGGTCGAGCTCGCCTAGGATCGGGGCGAAGAAGGCGGTGCGGCGGACGCGGTCGAGGAGGTCGTTGTCCTTGCCGTGCTTCTTGACGTTGTCGGCGGCTTGGTGGGAGAGGACGCCTGCAATTTGTGGATTGTGGTTAGAAGGAATTGATGGGAGTACAAAATTGGTGTTGTTTCGAGAACGGGACAAGGAAGACATACGGATTTCCTCGTGGGCGTCCTGGCGGGAAAGACCCTTCTTGACGCAGGCCATGATGATCTAGTGGTGGTTAGTCATTTGTTAATGGAGAGGGGAGGTTCGGTGGAGGAGAAATTGAGGTGGGATGCTTGTTCTCTCGGGGGCGAGGCTTACGTTCTCACTGTTGAGTTTGTCAGTGGCTGAGATTAATCTCCCGGGGGGAATGATCGGGTAACTTACGTGGCCATGAAAGGAAGCTCGTCGTTGACACGACGCTTGATGACCTCGGGGTAAACGACGAAGCCGGAGGTGACGTTGTCTGTGATGATGGGCTGGTCAGCAACTGAATTCTAGTGTTCGAGCCGGCATCGTCGCCACTTACTCAGGAGGATGAGACAGGCGTCAGCGGAGAGGTAGAGCTCGGGAATGCTGATACGGCGGATAGCGCTGTCGTCCTATTTGCTCATTGTCAGACGGTTCCATGGCTAACAAATGGGCGGGAAGTATCTCACCAGCGAGCGCTCGAACCACTGGGCAGAGTAGGTGTCCAAACCGTCCTTGGGGAGGTTCTGAAGGTGTCTTCCGAGGGAGCACAGACGCTCAGAACGCATGGGGTTACGCTTGTAGGCCTGCGAAGAAAAATCACGTTAGCCTTTATTCCGTATTGTCGAAGAATGCAACTCACCATGGCACTGCTGCCAATCTGGTCCTTCTCGAAGGGCTCCTCGACCTCCTTGAGCATGGCCAAGTGGCGGATGTCGATACCAATGCGCTCGCAAGTGGCACCGAAGGAGCCGAGGGCATTGCCCACATCGACATCGATCTTACGGGAGTAAGTCTGACTGGAGATGATGAAAGCAGAGTCGAAACCGGCCTTCTTGGTGACCAGCTCGTCCAACTGCTCAACCTTGTCGTGGTCGCCGCTGAAGATCTGGAGGAAAGAAGCCTGAGTACCGGTGGTACCCTTCACACCGCGGAAGCGCAGATCATCGCGGGCTCTCTCGAGGTTGCGCAGATCCATGAGCAGGTCCTGGATCCACAAGCAAGCTCTCTTGCCGACGGTGACCAGCTGAGCGGGCTGGCCGTGGGTGAAACCCAGGCAGGGCAGATCCTTGTACTGCTTGGCGAAGGCAGACAGCTTGTCAATGACAACGGCAAGCTTGGGGATCAAGATATCGAGACCGTCACGGAGGAAGATTAGATCGGCATTGTCCGTGCAGTAACACGAGGTGGCACCCCAGTGGATGATACCCGCGGCAGCGGGGGCGACCTGGCCGTAGGCGTGAACGTGGGCCATGACGTCGTGTCTCCGACGCTTCTCCTCCTCTGCGGCAACCTGGAACTCGTCATCCTGGATGACCAGGTGAGCCTTCATCTGCTCAATCGCCTCATCGGAGATAGCCAAACCGAGTTCTGGGAGAAGGGGCCTTCTGATTAGTCGGCAGCTCGCAGACTGCGATATGGAGATGGAGAGAGAGAGAGCTGTTGCACAGCGACAAAGGATAATCACCTTTTTCCGACTCAGCAAGCCACAACCACAGCTGTCTCCAAGTAGAGAAACGGTTCCGGGGAGAGAAGAGATACTTCATCTCATTGCCTGAACACCCGAACAACAATTAGTCCGATATCGCTCCGGCTGGCAGATATCGTCAAGGAGGTGTCAGGAGGAACTTACTCGCATAACGCGAGTTGAGAGGGGTCTGGTAGACATCGTTGCTGGAAGACATCCTGTCAGAAACGGGATTGAAAGGATTTCCGCAGGAATTGGCAGGCAGAAAAGGAGGAAAGAGGATGGATGGAGTCAAGAAGTGTGCGTAGAGCCAGGAAAATTTACAGCGGGCTGGATGACTCTTAGCGGGGTCTCCGCTTATCAGTCACGTTATCATCCGGAGGGGCTAATCATCACATGACGGACGGTCCCCGACGTGGGGGAAAAACGCACGACCCCTTTTCGATCTTTCCTAATGCGTCCACTGCACTGGTGAAGTATTACTGCCCAGTATGCAGTTATACAGTAGTAGTCAATGCTGGTTACTAAGGATAATATACCATAAAAAGATAATCTAGTTAGAATAAAACATTAAGAGAAGAAACCTATATCCGCCAAATTAGCCCTCGTTTATTCACACCCAACCATTAGAAGGTAATGATCAACACGACCAACCTCCTGCATTCGGTATGGCGGACCCCACAGTGCTTGTTGCGGGTTTTGCCCGCATTCATCCCAGCGCTGCCAACTGCGCAGAGAGACTTGCTTTGTCGAATTTGACATACTTGCCTCTGCCCTTGTCAATCTCATGGTACCGATCCCAAAACCGCGCGTAGAGGGGCTCCAGGACTGCCTGCACTTCCCGAGCGAGAACCCCGCGCACCTCGCGTTCCATGTAAAGACCTTTATGGCGGGTCACCAGATCCTCGAAACTGGCGTTGAATGCCTTAAACTTGTCTTTGATCGCATCCTTATCTTTGGACGACAGCGATTTGACAATGGCGCTGGAATCAACCACGCCTCCGGACGTTGGCCGGCCGGAACCACGGGAAGTGTACTGCACATCAAGAAGATAGTGAGACGTCTCCTTCCAAGCATCAAGATACGTCGATGTTGCCCGTTTGCGGAAGGAATCAATCCGAGCAATGCTGTCTCCAGATCCAAGATATTTGGCTAGCTCTGGGCTTGACCTGATAGAGCGGTCCACGGTGCAGAAGACGTTTGACAGAAACACCCCCTGTACTGCCTTGGAGCGGTGAAGTGCTCGACCTCGTGCCTCAAGCGCAATCATCAAGGCTTCGATCATATCAAGAATGAAATGTGACAAAAGGGTCGAACTGTCTGGACTGACATCCAAGGGCGTAGTGGCTGCGTTGGTAGTCGAATGCCAGTTTCCGTCACCCAAAGAAGTCAGGATGGATGCCAGGGGTCCGGAGTATCCAGTCAATGTAGTAAGAGAACTCATCACCTCGCTCACAAGAGGCACTGATCCGCCATCTGGAGGAAGCATAGATATACCTGCGGCCTTGCGCTTTGTTTCTTCGAGAAGCTCCGAGAGGGATGACTTGGCTGTTTCCCGCACAGGCCTCAGCGCCTCGATAAACAAGCTCTTAAGTTCTCCCGTCTTCGAATCGACGCGATAAGACATCGCAGTAACGATTTCGATAATCTCAAAAGCCAGAAAACAGTCTGTCATTAGGTTGGCTCGGATGTAGTGATTGAGCTCACGAAGTGTCTGCGAATACTCAGTCAAGGCTGAGCGACACGTCGCTTGCAGAGCCAGACCACGCTCTCCTCCAGTGAATATCCTCACAATCATATCATGTTCCGTGTAGATGAAGCTCTCCAAGGCATTGGAGTAGATGCCAATACCATTTGTGCCTTGTCGATATGGACCGTCCGCAGCTCTTCTCTTGACAGTATTTAATGACGCTATAGCAAGGTTCTGCAAACTTGCCGTTACATATGGTCCACGTAAATCGGAGTATATCTTGAGCGCGGGATTCCCGCCGTCTCGCTGAGGCCCATAGCTTGCTGCAGAGGCGATGGTGGCGCACACGGGTCCTAATTCGGTGAGGACATCGTCGGGGAGTGAGGGGAACGGGAGCTCTAAACGTAATGAATGTTAGTCTTCCTCTCATCAATCAGGAATGTCAGGCGGCTGCATACCTTTGGTTAGATAGTGTAAAGGCTCGATGGCACCGACATTCTCCCCAAGCCGGCTGCGGAGCAAGTCTTGAAGTTGCGAATTGCCGAGGCTCAGTAAGGAGTTGAAGTCCGTAATAGCTTTCTGGTTGGATCGCAAATTGGTCGAGTTCAAGTCCGCGAGCGCCTTTTCCACACGTCTCACGGCCGAAAGATAATGCGACACTCCGACACTCTGAGGGCTTTAGGGGGTCAGCAAAATGAAGAAAGCCGGTGGGAGTGGTGTTAACGGAGGGTGCATACTCGGAACGGATAATGCCTTCTTCTTGACCCTTGGCATTGAGGGGTTGGCGCAGACGCTCGATAGCTTCATTGACTTTTTCAATGTTGCTGTTGGTGATCTGGAGGGATTGGGTATTACTGTAGATAGGACCGATGGCATGCTTGACCACGTTTCCGCCGGTTTCAAGACGCACCAAGGAGCCCTGGATTTTCTTGGTGAGGAGCTTCAGCTTCTCAAGGTTGGCGTAGAGGACCTCGACCTCTGCACTCTCCTCAGCGTATGCGGCGTTCCTTGGGGCGACCATGGCGAAGGAGGACTCGATCGGCCGGTCCCACCGTTAACATCAGACAATCAGGGATTCGTAAATGAAATCGACTCTGCAAGAACGGAGAGACGTCATTCCTCGCTCATGAAATGCGATAAGGACTAACAAGATAATTGAAGGGGGGGGATGGGTATTAGATGAATAGGCGACACGTCAGAATTGAGAGCTGACCAACGAGGCACCTGGCCTCATGAAACAAGCATGACAGTTAGTTTAATATACCTCCAAGAGATGAGTGAGAGTTCCGTCCCGAGTCCCCTTCTTCGTCTGCCCCGGACGGACACCGGGCGCATTTGCTTGCTTTGCTCTGCTTTGCTGCGTGACTCCGCAATGCGCGCTTGCCTCGATATGGTGATTTCGGCCCGTCCTGCGTACCGGAGTTTGGCTGAGCCCCAAAACTGATGCATCACATGATATGATGTAATGGTAATGGCTACATATCCTCTCGACCAGCTCGAATCCGTCGGAATGAAGAAACGGAATTTGCTTAAGTAGTACCTGATCGTCGCGGTCTGGATCTTTTCCCCTCCCCCGTTATGGACTTCACCATTGCATGCTGCCCGCCACTGCTCCTCTTACCCTACGGAGTACCCATCTCACCATGGGTGCTGCGAAAGCATCGCGCTTGCACTGGACAATTCCTCCTACCTTTCTAATTGCACTGGGCGGCGGGGTACTCTACGTCGCCGGTGGTCGATACCTTCCAAGTAAGCAACTTCTACTACAGGCCGAGCCGAGAGCCCTCTTTTCTACAACATCTTCCGTCTTCGCGGACAAGGATTCGAAAAAGACCTCGTCACTCAGCGACTACCTGCCAGGGCATGGCTCAAGACAAGACGCGCATCATGAAGATGCGGGGTCAATTTGGACCAACATCTTGGGGAAGTTCGAGGGCGTCAAGCTATCAGTCGGCACTTCGGACTGGATTGAGCTAGAGAATCTCAAAAACTACATCATTCCCGATTGGACCCGTTTGCTACCCGCATCGGTGCAGAAGCTCCAGCGGGAGCTATCAATGGCCCCTGGCTCCCTTGCCGACGAGATCTGGAAGGAGGCTCATGATCCGGATATCAACCCTGAGATTCTACGAAAGGCAAGAGTCCGGGTCGGGGATAGTCTGTGTGATGAAGAACTGGTGTACAGGGAAAGACGACGAAAGTACGCCGTAACAGCCCTTGCGTCCTATCTCAACCTCAACGAAGAGGACATTCATCCCGACGATGTCCCTACCATAGCTATGTGTGGCTCAGGAGGGGGTCTACGTGCGCTTGTCGCCGGCACAGGCTCGTACCTCGCAGCCCAAGAAGCCGGGCTCTGGGACTGCGTGACCTACACCGCAGGGGTGAGCGGAAGCTGCTGGCTACAAACATTGTACCATTCGTCTATCACGGGACGTAATTTCAACAAGCAGGTTGATCACCTGAAAAATAGGTTGGGAATCCACTTAGCGTTTCCTCCGGCAGCACTTAAGCTGCTCACCACCGCACCCACCAACAAATATCTGCTGAGCGGATTGGTCGAGAAGCTCAAGGGCGATCCCGGCGCCGACTTCGGTCTGGTCGATATATACGGCATGCTATTGGCTGCAAGATTGTTAGTACCCAAGGGCGAACTGGGGGTTTGTGATCGAGATCTCAAACTCTCCAATCAAAGATACAACCTCACCAATGGAGCGCATCCACTTCCTATCTACACTGCTGTCCGCCATGAGATCCCTATAGTCGAGATCAAAGATGAAGACGGCAAATATCCGAAGCCTGAGGATGTCATCAAAGAATCAAAAAATGAAGCTTGGTTCCAGTGGTTTGAATTCACGCCGTACGAGTTCTTCTGCGAGGAACTCGGTGCTGGCATACCGACCTGGGCATTAGGAAGACATTTCTACGGTGGCGCCAACGTCAAGCGTGAACAGATATCCCCAATCCCCGAACTCCGCGTTCCGGGATTAATGGGCATCTGGGGTAGCGCTTTCTGTGCCACTCTCTCTCACTATTACAAAGAGATCCGACCCGTGGTGAGGGGCATTACTGGATTCGGCGGCATCGATTCCTTGATTCAGGGCAAGACGAAGGACCTGATCCGGGTTCACCCTATTGACCCAGCTGCGATCCCGAACTACGTTCTAGGAATGAAGGACCTCTTGCCCGCTTCATGTCCGGACTCGATCTTTCAGAGCAAGCATCTCCGCCTCATGGATGCCGGCATGAGCAACAACCTCCCCATCTATCCGTTACTCCGACCTGGTCGGGAGGTGGACGTGATCATTGCCTTCGACGCCTCAGCTGACATCAAGCACGAGAACTGGCTCTCCGTCGTAGACGGCTACGCTCGCCAACGAGGCATCAAGGGCTGGCCGATCGGCGCCGGCTGGCCGCGCGAGAGCGAAGAACCCAAGATCACCGAGGAGACTCTCCGCGAGCCGCAAAACATCTCCGAGGACGAGATCAACAAGAGGATGAACGCAGCGAAAGACAAGACCTTTCAGCCTACTTCTTCTCCTACATCCCCGTCGGATAACACCCAACGGGGCATCACGCAGGACGAAGACCCCACCGCCACGAACCCGACCCCCAGCCAAAGCACCGACCTGGACTACTGCAACGTCTGGGTCGGCACGAAACAAGAGATGGTCTCCGACCGCGAGCCCCCGCCCTCGAAACGGCTCTTCCAGCCCCGCCGCCACACGAGCAACGACGGCGACCACGACGACGACCACGCCGATTCCGACTTCCACCTCATGCGACCCGATGCAGGCATCGCCGTCGTCTACTTCCCCCTCCTCCCCAACCCATCCGCCCCGAATCTCCCGTCCTCCTCCTCGCTGAGCCCGTCCCGCACCCCGATCCGCCGTTCCGAAAGCACCACCTCCACCAAAGTCTCCGACCCCGCCAAACCGCTCACCCCGTACCCGGGCTCCATCAACCCGGACGTCGACGACTTCCTGTCCACCTGGAATTTCGTCTACACGCCCGAGCAGATCGACTCCGTCGTCGGCCTGGCCAAGGCCAACTTCGCCCAGGGCGAGGACCAGGTCAAGCGCGTGGTGCGGGCCGTGTACGAGCGCAAGAGATCGGACCGGCTACGGCGGGAGGAGCAGGAGCATCGGCAGCGGCTGGCCGGGTTTGTTCCCATCTAGAAGAATTTCGTTTTCCCTCAATATTGAACCAAATCACGTTCCTTTGTGTATGATGTCATCAATATACTCAATAGATGATGATGAAAGAAACCCTCTCACAAACGGGCGTTCAAGCTTGGAGTTTGCGCATCTCAGGAATAATGGATTATGATTGTCACGGGAGGAATACGGGCGTTGCATGTCCTACTACCACGCACACTTGGTTCTTGACTTCCTTATTTGTCTCGCAATATCTGTTTCTTGATTCCCTATGTCCGGCAGACTACCTGTTGGATCCGCCAGTGTACAGTACATCAGCCGCATTGTAATCTAGCTTAAAACCCCTTTTCTTCCATATCCGTGTGTCATCGCTCTTGCTGCAAGCCAGACCGGGGGAGCTGATTTTTACCAAGCTTCCGCAAGCTCGAAAAATTATGGAACACGCAGTCTGTGTATGTATGTACGAAACAAACCAGAATAAACATGATAGAAAAAGCCAGCACGGGGTATAAGAAGGGTAAAGCACCTTTTATCCGTATACTTACTTCTAATAGTTTCCCGAGGAAAATAGACAGAAAGGAAACGCTGAAGCATGATTATCGACCCAAGAGCCGGTTCCCAATACATGCGAGTCGTGGGACTTTCCAGATGACAGGAAAGAAGATGAAGCTTACAGTAGTATTCACGTCTTCTTCGTCGTCTGCTTCAACAAGTCTCCTTCCCCGGACTCTCGCACCTCATCCTCACTCCCCGCCAGACTGACATCCTTACTCTCGTCCGTCTGCTTCCGTAACCCCAGATGTTTCCCCCAGTCCTGAATCGACGCTGCGGCTGTGGCCGTCAGCTCCGCGGCCATGGAATGGTCCGACGCCGTCGAGGATTTGTGTCCGTGCTTGTGTTTATGGTGGCCGTGGTCCTTTTTGAAGGAGGAAGAGGAGCTCGGGTTCCTTGAAGCACTACCACCTTCGGCGGGGTCCAGATTCTCCTGTTGGTCGGAGTCGGTCGCATGGATGTGCCAGTCCGGCGGTTGGGTTTCGGGAGCTGGCTCCCCAGGTTTGGGCTCGGTGATGGGTTGGCCTTCGTCCACAGTGGTGGCTCCGTTGTTGGTCGTGTGGTCGATGCTACTCCTCTCACCACTGCCGTGTTGCTGGGAGGGGGCGTAGCGCCAGACGACTTTGATGCGGTCGAGGGCCTTGACGCCTTTGCGGGTGGTACCCTTGATGCCGTCCAATGCGTCCCACTCGCTTGAAAATACCCCGGAGTCGTGCTCGTGGCCGCCCTCGAAGTAGGCGTTGAACCAGACGTGCGCGATTGAGGTGACCATCGCCCAGCCTGTGTAGGCGGCCTTGCTACGGCGTTCGAAGTCGATATTCACGTCAGAGGTGGGGATGATGATTGGCTGCCGGGGCCGGAAGATGGCGTTGGAGATGTGTTTGATTGGGTTGTTCTGGGGTTTGGCTGACGTTGAACCTGTTGATGAAGATGTTGTTGTTGTCGGTGTCGCGGAATCGGCCAGGTTCTCGGGGGTAGGGGTACCTGTCGGGGATGATCTTGAAGACCCTTCGGGGCTACCGCTGTTGCTGTTATTGTTGCTGCTCCTCTTCTGCTGCAGCGGGTGCGCATTTTCATTCTTGCTTTCGAAAAGTGTCACATTCACGTCGTCTACGACCGTGCGCTCGGTTTTCTGGAATCGATGGAACTTCTTGATCTTCTTACCCTGGTCGACATAACCCTCCACGGCGACCTTGACCCCATCTCGGAGGCCCCAGACATGTACCTCGAGGATCTCAACCGGCCGCTCAATGTACTTCTTTTCCAACTGATTCGACCACCGATCGACGTACCCCACCCAGCGCAGCTGACTAGGTATGCTGACACCGGCACCAAACCCAACTCTCATGCGGCGCTCCGTGAACCGCTGCAGTGCGTCCTCCGCCTTCCATCCCTCCTGGCTGATCAGATAGCTGCAGGCGACGGTCCCACTGCGGCCCTTTCCCGCCTTGCAGTGAACGACGGCAACCCTGTCGGGCTTGTTGTCACTTTTCAGTTTGTTTGCAGACTGAGGATCATCCAGTCGATGGATGTAGTTGCGCATGCTCCCGGTTATGGCGGGAAGGAGAGCAAACGGGGGCGGGTGGTGGTCCGGCCATGGGTAATGATGGATCCGGCCATATACTTCCGAGTCGGGGTATCCTGTGCCCTCCGCACGGAATTCCCAAATGCACCAGTCGCTGCCGTGCTTGGAGTCGAGGAACTTGACCAATTCGTCAAGGGGGTTTCTGTATGCGCGTTGCGGGTAGTTGGAAGATGGACCGGATGTTGCGATCACTGCGGTGCGGAGAAGGAGTTGGCCATTAGTCGATAGAATTTCCAGGGGTGCCAGGTGTAGCATACAGTTGTCCGTCACGTAGCAGAGATCCAAGCCTGCTTCGGGATGCTGCTGTCTAGGACCAGCGACAATCTGTCGTAGGATCGACGCCTGCGCCGGGAAATTATGTCATGTCAGGTCCCGTGTTGGCATGCCAGGGGTGGGGAAGAGAGGAAGAAAGCTCAAATCCAAGCTGAGACGTACCATGAGATTCTAAGGCGGAATTTACGTGCTGCAAATGAAGGGTCCAGTTCAAAGACGTATTCCTGGTGATATAGAAGAGAACATGCGCGTCTCTGGCCTGGTCATTGGCAGCGCGGATAATTAATGATGGATGAGGTAAAGCACGCACGGGCTTCAACCCGGTGATGATCTCCAATTTCTGGGAACCCAGGAGAGATGGAGATATTTGCGAATGATGACGGCTTCCATCCACCTAGTTCAAACAATAATAATTGCCACAGCGGAATGAACAGAGGCTGTGCAATTTCGATGTGGAGGAGGAGATGTGGAAGGAAGGAGAGCTACGGGTGATTGCAGATGTTGACGGCGATGATGTCACCGGAAATCCGACTTGCAGTGAACTGTCCCTCCCTAGTCTACTCACCACTCCGTAATTCGCCCCTCATCAACATTCGGTCAATGCAACCAGTCAATTGCACCCGAGTCTGGACAATACGGTATCCGTAAACATGGGAGTTAATGCAGTATGAAATCACTTGCATTCTTTTCATTTGGTTGGTCATAACATTTGTCCTGCATTAGCCACTTTTTGCCCATCATGTAACCAGACATTATTAGGTAAACAACCCCTAACTTATCCCATATCAACAATACACAAATAACACACAAAGAAATAGACATGATAATCATATGATACAAAAACAGTTCGTATCCCGCGCCTCCGTCAAATTACCCTCCAGAGCGTAATATCATCTTAGGCAAACCACCAGACGGGGCGGTGAGGTTGGCTCATCTCCTACTTAATTCTTCAGGCGACACCATACTCCTCGGTGACGGGGATTGTGAACCGCGGCGTCGACGAGGTGACATTAGTCTCTCCGAAAGCAAAGAACTCGGCATCGCCAGGGAGGATCCATTCATGTTCAGCCCGGACATTCCACAGCGGATACGGCTCGGCTTTGACGCGGGACTTGATCAGAGGGTTCTGGCAGGAGACAAGGTCGTCGGAGCTGCTATCCGTGGTCGTACCAGAGCAGGTAGTATTGAAGCCAGGCGTGTTCTTGGTTGCTACACCGAGGATGTTGAAGTTGTAAACGCAGCCTCCCGGCGAGCAGCCGGTAGTGAAGTTGGAAACGTGCCAGGTCAACGCCGCGCTGTCACGGCGGCTGGGATAAGAAATGGGCGAGGCAGAGGTAAGGCTCAGGGTGGAGAGAGCAAGACTGAACAAGGTGGTGAGCTGCATGGTGGTGGAAGTAAAAAGTAGATTGGATGAATCAGGTTTTCTCAGGCCGGTTTTAATTGAGTCCTTGCGCCTTGCGACAACGAGGTATGTATGTATGCAGGTGGGGTGAATTGATATGCTTGACAGGAAAGAGACAAGCACCAACTTCAATAGGAATTAAGTATTATCAGTAAGTACTGAGCGAGTCGGAAGATAGGTAGAGGAGGAAATAAAAAGATGGATGGACGTGATGAAGAAAGGGGAGAAAGAAGAATGTAGCGGGCAGCGACAGCGACTTGATATAACCCCGGTTCTGCGAGAGCGACGGCGGCGTTGACCCCAGCAGGGAGGAGGAGCGCAGACGGATGGAGGGACCCTCGCCTCCGTCTGGAGCCGATGCTTTTCTTTTCTTAGAAGCTGCAAAAGCAATCCTGATGCAGCGGGAGAGCATTTCGACCCCAACAGTGGAGCGAAGCGAGAGTAGGTGAAACGAACCACTGGCAAGAGGGACAACTCATTGGCCCGAGGGTGGCTGATCGCGCGGAATTTGAGCGAAGATCCCTTTGGTTGCCCACCTGCATCGAAGAACAGGAAGAACAGGAAGAAACGGATTGATCTATGAGGAGTTTAGTGTGTGACAGACCATGGTTACACAACTGACGGTGAGAGCAAGTTTGTGCTTAACAAGCTAGAGGAAGATTCGACCATGTTTCCATCCTAGTGTGGATGTAAGCCCCTGTGTATACCGCAAGTTATAGTTACGCGGCATAGTACAAACAACTAAGCCGTATTGTAGTTAGCAGATAGGCACCTGGAAGTATAGGGATTCGACCAACACACCACAAGAGGTAAACAATAATTATGATCGGAATAGTAGACTATTCTCTGTAAGTACGGAGTAGTCGGACAAGACATCAAACGGGTGGTCCCAGCGAGAACTCCGGGCGCAATCACCGGAGGTTTGACAATGCGACGCCCGCCGTCTCACATGCGAGCTTAATCCTTCGGCCTCGGCGAACTTCCCCAACCTTCCTGTTTTCGCTCTCCTAAACCTGTTCCTAGTCCTTGTACAAGGTCTGCAAAACTACTTCATATCCGGTATATCAGGCTTATTTCCATATTTGGGGGACTTGATCAATAAGTTAGGGGTTGGGGTCTAGTATAGATTGGCTTGTTTCAAATAGCTGCTTGCTTGCTGCTATTCACATCTGGTGAAAGAATTTCTTGGTGACCTGACAATGTTTGGGATTTTATCATCTCACCCTAAGTATTGAGGGAATAGCATACAGAGCATCTGAATTTGATTAATTCTAGGGCTCCGGACAGTAGTTAATAGGTATGTTGTACTGCAGTATGTGGTAGATCTATAGATCAAACTTCACCCTTTGGGATGACTTGCTAATACTGGAATGTAATACCCCATACCCCATAGATCTCTAAGGATGAATCTTTTACTTGACAAGAATGATACAACTATGCGCTTCTAGGTGATGTGAATTTTGTTCATTTCGACAGTGAATCACTTTAAGCAGCGGGCGAAACCATCACACGAGCCGGGACATTCAGAGATAAAAGCAGACCGATGCATCTTTGTCATTAACATGAAACGTCACGCCTCCAGTACCAGCAATGACTTCTCTTCTGGGAAACATACTCTATCTTCGTAGCAAACCTACCCATCGTTCACTAGCAATCCTGCCTCGTCACAGCGCAATTTATGGTGTTGAATGTCAGCATTATCTCCTGGCTTAAAGTCTCTGCAGCTGCCCATAGAAATTTGAGCTACTGCTCTTCGCAGGGCTGCAAATGCCGAAGAGACACGGGGTCATGGCAGATCATACATAACCTTTGCTGCATTGCTGAGTCTAAACTCGGATTGAACCCAGCAAGACTGGGTCTATTGATGCATTTGCCAAACTTTTGCCATGAACCGCACCGACTGCAACGGAATTTTCAAGGGCAAATTGGAAGCTCGAATGGTGCGAACGCCTGATGCGGCGCATCTTCACCCTTGCGCGGAATTTATTTGCTAAAACCCATTTGAAGAAAGGGAAGACCCTCCTATGTCGTATTGATCAAGAATGAAAGAAAATTACAGAAGCTCTCCGGTCGAAGCTAGAGAACAGTTCCTCAGGATCTCTGATCGAGTTCCCCTGTTCCTGAGTCTGATCCGGTGACCCAACCTAAAAAATACAAACAAAGAAGGTGTAAAGGCCCTAAATGAACTTCATACCATGGGCCTAAAGCTAAGAATGGTAGACTAGGGGCTCTTTTCCAGGGTTTAGCAATGACATCAATGTGCATACTCGAACCCTACCCTCATCAAATAAAGAATGATGCTCTGGGGGTAGGACTTTGGCCCAGAATACGACTTGATCCCAAGGACGGAGACCGGATCGAGCCTGACTACGATGCTGAATGTATGCGTGCACTGAGATCTCCCCCGGAAAAGCGACAGTTACAACAAACATCGCATACAATGAACCTTGCTGAAAGATGGTGGCGAAGCAAGCTCATCGGTTTAGCCTTGCTCAAAGTGTGCCCCGTCAACTCGGCAGAAGGTGCAAACGATGATTCTGTGTGCGATAACCATAGAGGAAAGGGGGGAACGAAGTGCCTGATGAGATCCCGGCCTAATCCAATTTAAAGACATACTAAGCACATCGCGAGAGCAAAGTGTGCACCACATGCTTCCGCAAGCCTACGACAACATCTGGAAATCCCGAGATAACAGTTAAAAGAGCTGATGCCCCCGCGGCAAACGTGCCTGATCAGCCCTTGATCAGAGTTGCTTACCCTAACAGAGGAGCCGATCAACACCAGTTTCTGCCGGCAACCAAGGCAAAGATAACCTCGAATTACCAGCGAGAGAATCACGAGCAAGCTTGTTCTGCCATGGCATAGAAAACCTGAAGGGTACCCAAACTGCAAGGGATGTGAATCCAGTATTCCTTCCGCTCTCGCAACTCGCGGCGATTCATGCTCTTAAAGTAATCGCAAATGATCGAAAACTCACTGGGCCCATCGTGGCCGAAAAAGTCGGTCTTGTGAGAATGGATCGGAACTGGGTACTGAGGTCAAAGGACTACCGGCTATCTCGAAGGGAAGAATAAACACCCCCTATAGGGTAACAGAAGGGTGAATACGTATTGATTGAACTAACTGAATTCGCTGGCTGAAGCTATCCACACGAGGGAGAGGAAGGGAGGAAGGGAGGGGCAAGAGGAGAGAGGTAGGAGCCACCCACCACCGCTTTTAGGAAAGTAACAAGCTTATTAGCTTATGGATGATCTTCTGAACGAGAGACATAGACTTATGTTTATCACTGAACATTCTCTAAAAGAATCTAATCCACCGTGTTACGTGTGGTGTTTCGATTCCGAAATCCTCACCTCCACCATCAGGTGTAGGTGAATTGAGATGTGGGTAATCCCATGCCTAACAGAACCGGAGCTGTACTGATTCTTATTGTTTACCTCAGCTCCCTTACAGACAATTTCAACGAGCTCAACTCGGTGTCTGAGGAACGTCGCCACCAGCTTCTTAGACGACTCAAGGGAAAAACTTCAGCGGTAGCCTGTCTCTTGCTTTTGTGGGCGGTGTTTCTATACGGTGATGTGGAGTTACTCCGACGCGTGGTGCGGAGGGCGGAGGATGACGACGGCTGGCAAGTCCTAATCGAAGGTCAGATGAAGGAAACGCAATACATGTTGCAGCAGTGGGCTCAGATCTACCGTCCTGAACGTCTTGAAGGTCCTGCACAGCCTGCACAACCTGCACGAAAACCTCCAGGGCAATCAGCTTCGGTGTCGGACCACACTCCGCGTGCTCCTATTCAGACCAAGAACGCGGGTATCCTCCTTGAGATGTTTGGGATGGCGTCAAGGAATAATAGATTTCTTATGATCATGACCCAAGCAAAGGGGTTGGATGATAGAGCAATTGAATTTTATTACACTCCATATAAATGACCAAGTAGTAAACTTAAAGTCTCCAAGCCGGAGCATTCATGAACACGAGTGTGCTCCTACTTCCCTCAGTCATCGAATGGTTGCTACTGTCTTGCGGTAGTTCACGCACCACAGTACAAGCGGCAGCAAGATGTTTAGTGTAGGTACAGTACAGTATAGTAGCGTCCGGATCCCGGGCTTTTTAGGGCACGAACACCGTCAGCACGGCAGACTACGACCACAGGGTGAACTCGGTAGCTATAGATTCATTTCCCGTCTAACGTACGCCATCGTGCCGGTGCTTACTCGCATGAGCTACCCCAGCCAGCCTCTTTCGGCCGTCATCTGGAAGACTAAGCTTTGGCTGTCATTACCCAACAGGCTTCATGGTGGTTCGATTCGTCGGAGATCGGAAATGACCGATATTATAGTCCAATGGGGCCAAAGGGTTAGCCCCCCCTCCCTGTCTCCTCCTTTTTTCATGCATTTATAGCACGTCTATTTAGATGTACAATACATGGTGAAATTGTAAAATCACCTTCTTTGTCGTGACCAGTCTCAATCCAACTTTGGATCGTCTCCTTTGCTGCTTACCAGCTGATCCTCGGGAATAAGACCGCCCGGCTCGTAGTCCATCCAGCCTTCCTCCTCCTGTGCGCGCTGGATGGCCAGCTGCCTCCTCTTCCTCTTGCGCGCCTCCTTCGACGCTTGCCGTCGCGCGTTTTTCCACAGTTCCTTCGACTTCTTCGACCAGGTCGCTCGGACAAAGGAGGGTCGCCACGTTAGGGTGGGATATCTGGGGGAGTCCCGCCAGGGCACGTCGTCGGCGGGCTCTTGGCTCGGCCATCGCTCACCACCATACTCATGAACAGCGTTGAGCTCATCCACCAGGCACTGGACAGAGCCATCCTGGATCCGGGGGTGGCGCCTCAACTGGACCGCGTACGGGTCCCGGGAGTGAGAGCAGACCTCCCGGATGGCGGCGCGTGTCTCCGCGCTCGGATCGAATCCCCGGTTCAGCAGGTCCTGGAAGTACATATACCCGGACTCGAAGTTGTCCGCGTCCAGACA